AAAAAAGAAAAAAAAGAAAGAAAAAAAAGAAAAAAAAAGAAAAAAAACTTCGAAAATTATTGTTAAAAGAAGCAATATCAGAGTAAAAGTTAGAAAGAGTTAAAAAAGATGTTGGTCTATAGACAAAGAAGTGTTGAACAGTTTATCTATGGCAAGTTGGAAATATATAAATGATAATATGTATATTTACTATATTAGTCGATGTTTCCTCCAAGATATTTTGTGGTTTCTTCGGAGATCTTTTATGCCTTTCAGTGTTTATTGACGGTGCTTTGTTTTCTTTTCCGGCATTACTTGCAACATCACTTTCGGCACTGTTTTCGGTATCCTCCATCTCCTGTTAATTACAAATTGAATGTTTATCAAATAAGGAATATCAGGGAAAAACAAGGAAGTGAAAGACATAATAAAGAACTAACCAAATAAATACTAAAGATATATTAAATGTATGTTGATATTAAAAAAGTCAAGAAGAGGTAAACCGCATATAATACATGAAGTAAAATAATTTTATAGATTTACATATAAATATAATATATTTACATATAAATATATAAATATATACATACAAAGGCAGTGGCAAAATTCTGATAGATGATTTCAACTCGAGGACAGCGGAAGAAAGGGAAATCCTATGGAACGGAGAGCAAGACGTGCAACACAGAAAATCAAAGATCATGCTGAAAAATAAACAAGAAGAAATGCTTCTAGAAAGTATATTAATTAACTAACATGATATAGAGTCTACTAAATGGCAACAAAAAAGAAGAAAATAGGAAATGAGTCTTTGTAGAAGCAATGATTGATACTTACAATCTGTTCCTGAAATTTCTTTTGAGTTGTGTGGCATAAATCGTAGAAGTTGCTCGTAGAAGTTAATTGTTCGCAGCAATTTTGGCAAATTTGCTGTGGCATCTTGTCATCTTCTGTCACCTAAAACAATTCAACAAATAACTTTAGAAATAAAATAAGTTTCTATTATACCAATCAGTATAAAAAGTTAAAATAATGAAATAAATAAAAAAAAACCATTAATTGTTATTGTATCAGTTTGCACAAATGTGCAATAAATTATACCTTTGTTGTACCAATCCCATATCATCTTTTTATAGCAGCATGAAGCAGAAAATTCACATTACAAAAGAGATATATGTCAAAATCGATAAAAAATAGGACAAATTTCGTGTTCAATGGCAGGCACAATGCAAATTATTAATTATTATTACAGAAGTATAACAGACATTAGGAAGTGAAATTATATTATAATGTATAATTGAATCTGATCACATATAATCAATTTTGTTATTAAAGATCGCGAAAGTTGTGGACTATCCTGTGGAAATATAATAAACATAATTAATTGTGCACATAATATTATAAATCATTATACTCACAATCAAATTCAATCGTACATTTAAATAATTATGCTTACAAATCAGCGCTCAATGATAGATTACATATAAAATAAATATTGGAATAGTGGAGTGAAACAAGCAGAAAAGAATAAGATCAATCAAGGCGTCCCAAAAATATCAGATTTATTGAGGCAACGGTGGAATTGTTAAACAAGTTTCTTGTTATAGAAATTAATCCTACATATATGTATATATGCGTCACTTGTATCCGTTAAATGTAATTAATGGACATCTTTGTCAAAGAAGTGACATTAATTTCTAAGTATGTATATACGTACAAAATAGCTCGTATTGCTTATCGTTTTAACTAAAGAAAGTACAGTTAATAATAAGTATCTAATTATAATATCTTTTACATAGCGCTTTTCTGTGATAATCGCATAGTAAACAGCTTCCTTCCATTCCGTAATTTGTAACTTAAAATACGCATTCTTGCTGTTGTCGTTTATTCTAAAACCAATTATCGTTTAAAATGCACTTTCTATTAATTATAGCTGTTTTTTCTTCACAAATCGATTTATTACATCGCAGACTTGTATCAAGGCACTTGAACTATACTTTCGTCGCATAGTATGGTAATTAGTGTTGAGCAAAGTACATATGTATGTACAGTTTACAAGTGTATTTTGCCCATTATTATTATTATTTAGCAGATTCTTACTTTTATTATAAAATATACTCCAAAAGATATCGGATACGTACGAATCGTCGCAGTGTCTCTCTCTCTCTATGAACACAACACATGTAAAGACGTGTAGAAAATATTTCTGTCGTCATGTATTTTGTTGTGTGAGATTATTGATCTTGGAAGCCCTTCGTACATCGCACTCTCACACACATTGACTCGTAAAATTTGTAACAAAACTACATGATTATTCAAGTAATTATACTTTTGGCCGTATTGTCTATATTACAAGATATGATAAACAGTTCTCCAGAGAATATTCTATATTCAGAAGAAAAATGTTTAAAAAAAAAAAGACACTTTTATAAACTATACATCACATTTCTAGGTATGGAGATTGATATTTACTATAAACATCAAATCGGAAAGACGTGAGAAGGACGTTTTAATACTTCCTGCAATCGTAATGACTCAAAGAAAAAGAAAGAAGTCGCGAAACTGCGAGGAAAGATTGTAATGCAAATCTCAGTAAAAAATGAAAAAGTCAATGGAATATAAAATATTAAAATTTAAGGAAATAGGAAGAAACATTTTACTAATATTATTGCTAAGCGTCAGAGCGATAAGGAACGATATCTCGGAAATTCGTCGAAGCACCAAATATTCAAAATGTTTCAGAATTATACGTAAAAGCTTAACTACTTCGTTAAACTGGTAACTGATTAATGAAATCGGTCCAAATACGTAAGAGTATTTTAAAAATTCTCCTTTTCTTTTGTTAGCCAGTTTTACCTATAATACTGAAAAACTCTGTGCATGCACTCTATACAAATGTTATTAATCTTGAGCAATCTTCTATAATATTCTTGCTATCTATTCTCGGAAGTTCCGTTTTTCAATCTTCTGGTCCAATTTATTTATAAATCCTATGGATTATTGTCTTCTCTGATTTCTTCAGTGATAATTTTCTTATCACTGCCAGTCGTTACTATTTCTCATTAGGGGACGCAGCGGAGTCGTTTAAGTCGTTAGTTGTAGCCTTCTGCTTGCCGATGACGCCAGTGCCTCTCTCCTCGTGCCGCTTCTGATGCACCTTCATGTTGTCGCGACGATTAAATTTCTTCCCGCATTCTGGACACGCGTGCACCTTCTCGCCGTGCACGTGGCGATGCGCGGCTAAGTGGCTCGCTTGCGCGAAACTCGCGCCGCACTCCTGGCAGACGTGCTTGCGCAAACCCTTGTGCTTCAACAGGTGCTCATTGAGAAACGCCTTGGACGCGTAACGATTGTTGCAGACGTCGCATACAAACGGCTTGGGATTGGAATGCTGCAGCACGTGCGCCTTGTGCTTGGAAGCGACCTTAAAGGTCTTGCCGCACACATCGCACGTATATGTGGTCGCGTGACGTGTCTTGATGTGCTCGTTCAACACCGACAGACTGGAATAGAGATTGTAGCAGAAGCGGCAACGGAAATTCCGTCGCTTCTTCATGTGTACGCTCGCGATGTGGCCGAGTAGTCGCGTGCGAAACGGGAACACTTTGCCGCAGTACTCGCAGGCGAGATTCTGCGGCGGCAGGTGCGACTTCATGTGGATCTGCAGCGAGACTTTGTGATGATAGCTCTGTTTGCAATCCGTGCAACTGTACGGTCTCACGCCTTTGTGAACGTTGTCGTGCTCGGCCAGGTAAAACTTGGATTTGAATCGCTTCGGACACTTCGGACACTGTATAGGCCTGGGATTGGTATGCGAGCATCGTATGTGCTTCATCACGTCGGACTTGCAGACAAACTTGGCGTTGCAGACGACACACGTGAACTGCCTGATGCCGAGGTGCGTCTTCACGTGCACCGTGCACTTGTCACGGCGCTCGTAGAACTTGAGGCAGAGCTTGCACGCGTAACCGTTCTGCGAGTCATTCACCACGTGCTCCACGTTGTCGTCCACCTTGATCTCCTCGCCGTCGATCTTGAACAGTTCCTCCGGATTCTGCGTGGCTTCCAACCGTTGTTCCAGCTCCGCCAGGTCCTCCATCGTCGCGCCGTTGTTCTTCGTGGACGCGTTGCTGAGAATGTCGTTGATAATACCGTTCACCTCCACGTTGTTCTCATCCCGCAGCAGATCCGTGATCGCCATGTCGACCAGAGAGTAGCCTTGATCGGGAAACACTCGCGCTCGCACTGCCGACACGTCGTCGTTCTGTTTTTTCGACAGTTCTACAGTGAAGCTGATGTCTTCCGCGTCGTTACTTCGGGTTTTCGTCTCCTTCACGGAGACCTCGGTGTCGGGCGAGCCGGAGACAATCGTCAATAATTTGTTCAATGCGAAGGTCGGCAGCTGAATCGTTGATAAGGAATCCTGCTGCTGCTGCTGCTGCTGCTCCTCTTTCGAATTCTCCTTGTCTGTGTTCTCACCGCTGCTGTTATTGTCCACAGAACGAACGCTCGCGTTATTTTCTGCTGCGCCGTGACTCCTTAATCTGTTCGCGATCGAAATCTTCTCGTCGGACGACAAGTCCGCGCTCTGTCTGCTTCTCAGCCAGCGAGTCGGCGACGCTTCTATAGTTTGATTGGTGCCCGATATATTTTTCTCTGTACTAACTTCATCGCTGCACTTGGAAGATTGTTGCTGCTTGTTGTTGCGAGTTCTCTGCGTTTTTGAGGCCGCGCTTCTCTTTCTCTGCACTGTCAGGTTCTTGCTGCCCAGGCTGTCTTTGCCCTGCCTGCTTTTCGTGCAATTAAGGTTTTTTTCTATACTGTTGTTATTATCCAATGACGACGTGCTCGCCGGCGACGTTGATTCTTCGTTCTTTACCTCTGCCTGGAGAGAGATCGAATTAGTACGAGTGGGTACCAGAATATGCTATTACTTCGATAATGGCGCGAGCGAATTGATAGCAGCGATCGGAAAATTCAGCCGTTTTTAATTTACCGTTCATACTTTCATATTACAATACATGAATTTTATTTTTGTAGTAATTTACGTTAAAACTACTTAACAATGATTTTTCAATAGCAACGCATATTATAATTGCAATAAGAAAAATTTCTAGTCTCAATAAAAGAATATTTCTTTACATTTACCGACAAAAGTTAAGAAGCGATTGCTTATGAGTCGTGAAATCTATTTCATTTCTTCGTTCGTACATTTTTTTTTTAATTATACCGTTTGCAAGAATTGATACGAAATGCGATAGAGAAGGATTGTAACCGAGTAACATGGTGAAAGAGCGGTAGAGCGGTAGGTGAAGTATAAACAAATCCAGAGACTTACAGGCTCTGTTAAGGGCGGTAGATTGTACTGATCGCGTAACACCTGTTGGGTGCGCAGACACTCCTCTTGAAAGTCGCAAACGAATTCGAGCTTGCCCAGACACTGAACACAGATCGCCTTGGGCAGAGGATCCGTCTCATCTATCTGTGATTCACAAACAGAAGTAAGTACTGAAGGATATACCTGTGTTGCTAGCTATAATGCGAGATTTTGTTATCGCGTATGACTCTAATCCTTTTTTTTTTTAGTTTTATTAAATATCATGTCACGTTATTAGAAATACAAATGCTACCGCTCTGCTCTATAGATGCACCATTTTGCAATGTATTTCGTTACGTATTCTCTGGTACCCACTAAACTACTCCGCGGCAACGTCAAGCCCGGAGTAATTGATAAACTTAAATTTATAATTCGCATATTAATCATTAGAATAATATCATTACTTACAATTTTAAGCCAAATTCACTATGTCTTTTTCCGATGAATGCACAAAAATTCTTTGCACAGATATAAAAAAACAATTTGTATAAAATACAATCGTAACACATTTATAAATGTCTGTTAAGAGCTAGCATTCCCATCACAAAACATTGAAATAAAACTTGTACTAAAATTTGGTGCTATTTAAATGCTAATTTGATAATAAATTAATTTTTTATTTTGCTCGAGTCATCGAGCAAAAAGTTACAATTAAAAGCTTAATGTTAAGTTAGCCAGCTTTTTTAATTGTAAATTTCTGCTAAACAGCTCAAGCGCTAAAATTAAAAATAAAGCATCAAATTAGCATCTAAATAGCACTAAATTTTAGTATAAGTTTTATTTCAATTTTTTGGGGGTTTCTGGCTTAACCAGACATCATTTATAAGCACTTACACATTTCAAAATAAACACGATATATTTTTGGTTTTGTATTATTCGACAATTCTTATTTCAATGGCAATATCAATTTTGCAGAAAATTCTGCAAAAATTCTCATTGTTAACGTATTCTTGTGTAAAAAATTTGTTATCAATTTTGGTATACAATATACAGAAGTAGTATATGGTGGAGCTTACGCGCTCACTGTGGCGTTCGTCACAATTTTATATGTTCAAGTAATGTGATAATGCATAAAATAAATTTTAAAACGAGATTAGTGCTGTTTATTTACGATATTACTCAGAATGCAGAACTTCCTAATAACGCAATATTTTTCAATTTTTTTTCATAAAACTCATTATATTAACACGTTCACGCCAGAGAAAAGAGAGAATGCATTGTTATATATTTTTCCTTATTTTTCTATTTATAAAATTACATAAATTTATTTTTTAATATTAACATATTAAATTATACATCTTTTATTCAATATAGTCGTAATTAATAATTAATAATAATCATCCAATCATCAAAAACGTACGAATACTTAATATATAAACTACCCTGACCTATCGATGGATCCGGAGTGAACGTGTTAAATACTTTATAAATACATAATTAAATTATCAACGCAAATTAGAAAGCACAACTTATAATTTGTTAATTAAATAATTGATTATTGTTTTAGTAAAAAAGCTAAAAAAGAAAAAGAGAGAAGAAAAGAAAAAGGAAAAAGCAAAAGTAGGAAAAAAATATTTAGGAAAATTAACTTAAAAATAGAGCTATTTTTTAATACAAGTCTATGTAACATTTCCATCAGTTTTTTTCCGAAGAGATTGATAAAAATTAAAGTAAAGTAAAAAAAGTAGAGTTAATAAAGTAATAAAGTAAAGATAAGTTTTGAGATTCATCATTTTTTAATCGTTCTTATGTGCAAAGCGTGGCCAAAATCGTAATAAAAATAAAGTAAAAGGTAATTATTTGTAAAAAAATATCGGTGTAAAATAATAAATAAAATTTTTTTACATGTACAAAATTTTATTTTTGAGAAAATCAATTAAAAAATTAGAAAATTAGTAATGTTCGTACTTCTTCAAGATTGAATAGTCTTGAATGTTCTTGTAATCGTGCAATGTTTATCATTGATATCTCAATAACTATCAAAACACGTGTAGAAAATAAAGTACAATATGTTATTGAGGATAAAATAATAAAAGTGAGAAAAGTGATAATTGTATAATACTATAAACTTTTATATATTTATTAACAATATATGATATAAAATGATAATAGAATATTCAAACCTAAGAAATTTTAAATTATTCAATTTTTAAAATTAATTTTCTTGATAATCAACAATTTCGACTTATTTTTTTATGAACAACTATTTTGCTGATTTTATACCACAATTTTCGCTGTGCTCTGTATATTATCCATTATGTATATCACGTGTATATCCCGACGAGTAATATTCAGCGTATAAGCCACGTGGAGTCATAGATCGCGCTATATTTTTCTAGAAAATTCCAGAAAATTTTTTAATTTTCTCAAAAATGTAATTTTAATACTAAATTAATATTAATATTAATATTAAATACTAATACTAAATATTAAAAATTTTAATACTAAATAAAATTTTAAGAATTTTTAGAAAAATATATTTGTAGATTTGCATAATTCAAAACTTTAACGATTTAACGGTTTAACGTATATCATTGAGTTCATCTCAGCAACAGTTAATGAAACATGTGTACAATATTAAATTTAAAAAATTGTGAAGGCAGTTGTTTCATTGTAAAAATTAGTTTTTTTCGTTTATAATTCGTTTGTAATAAAATCTCATATAAATAAATGTTATTCAACATTTTCGATTTATTTCCTTTGTGCGCAACTATTTTATTGCCACAATTTTTGCCATGCTGTGTTTTCTATTAATCGTGTATAGTGTAACGCTAAGATATAGATCACGTTATATTTATTTAGAATTTTATAAAAAATATAATTTTTAAAGAAATTTTCTTAAAAATTTAATTCAATTAAATGTTAAAAAAAGTTTTCACACGACACATTAGTGAAATATACAGAAAAGTATTTCTATTTCTAGAAAGTGTTAAAATTTAATTTAATGTTAATATCTTCAAGATAATTCAAATAGTTCAGAAATACAGAAAATATCAGTAAATTCCGATTTGCCTTAGTTGAAAGCATTGATATTCGTAATGTTGTGAAAATGCTTTGTGCAAAAGCAAGCATGAAACAGCACACCACAAACAAGTGAAGGACACAATAACATCCAGAGCCGACCGTTATGTACAAATTTTAAAATCCTTGCATACTTCTCGAAAAGTCGACCATTTCGGCGCAAAAGAAGCAGCAGAAGAAAATTAATTTGTAGAAAAACAATATACCTTTCTTTATTAGTCATTTCTTTTTTTTAAACTCGTGAGTTAAGGGTGAGAAAACTCCTGAGAGCGAGAGATCCATGCAATCGCGTGCGATCAAGTAACTCACCTGGATGTTGATTCTCCTGCGAATTTTAGGGCCCAGGTAGCGTTTGAGGCCCTCCGCGCCGAACACGTCGATGCAAATTCTCTCATATTGGCCGCAGAGCCTGCACATTTTTGCTTCCCCGAGATCCATTTTTGTTTACTTGTCGGTAACGCCTGCTTAAATACGAACTTGACTACTTGAAGGTTGGAATCGGCGATGGAGAGATCGACGATGGAGGAACCTCGTTTCGCGTTGCACCATACAATAGTAATGTAATAGCGTTTGTCGTTATTGCTTCTTCCTTCCCTTAATCTTGTCTCATGAATGCTTCTTCTTTGTGAGGCGAGAATACTTCTTCAACTACGACGCCTGGCGACGCCAGAACGCGGTGTGAAGAAGGTGCTGCGCAAGGAAGGGGCAAAAATGGAGACGACTAAACTGGCGTTACTACTCGATCTGAACAGGAAAATAATCGTGTTTAAAGTCAGACCAGTCTTCATGTATAACCTTACGGAAGATTTACATTGGATTCGTGCAACATCCGGTACAGCAACATCCGCTGCAACAACCAATAAAAATATTTATTTTCTAGAAACAAATGTGGCGTTAGACAAAATTTCTAGAAAGCACGTTTTTCATTGGATACAGAATCCGCACGTTAGACATCGAACGCGTTGTAAACCCTCCATGTGCAATATTCTCGCGCAAGCGCAATTTGCACCGCCAAAATAATATAGTAGTCGTGTATGAATAACCTTACCGGCTGGCAACATACAATAACACTACTGATTTGTCGCAGTTGACTGTAAATTCAATTATTTTCAACACGATTGCAATTGACGAAATGGGTAAGGAGAGTGAATCGGATGGTACGAAGAAGAGAAGAAAGTCTGTGAACACAAGCGGTGGAACATCGGTGAAAGATGGAGACATGTACAAGGTATAAAAGCAGAAAATAATTATTTATTTAAAACCAAAAATAATAAGATATTTTTCTTGTTTCTGTTAAATGCACATTACTAACGCATTTTGTGTCTTATTTTAGACTATAATCAGTTATGAAGAGAAGGAAGCTCTAGAAAGATTGCCTGAGGATGATTCTGAATGTTTTTTGGAGACATGTGACAATATTAGAACAGCGATGACAAAGATAGCTAAATTGAAGTCCAGTGGAGATCCAAATGTTTGTAACAGCACTGATTGTAAATTATTATCATTAAGTTTCCTTTAAATTTCTTAAAGTAAATGTTTCAGGTTAAAGATGAGATTCGTGAGCTGCAGATACAGACATCCCTAGCTTTTATAGAATTGAAAAAACTAAATCGCATGGAAAAGTTTCGTACAAAGTTTGCGCGTGATTCTCTTGTAGCTGCAAAGAGCGGTGTGGATAGCAGACATTTACATTTACAAAACTTGCTCTATGAAGTGATGCATTTGAAGAAAGAAGTTATTAAGTGTCTTCAGTTTAAGTAAGTCTCTTCTTTTATGCACAAGAATCTTTGATACTTTTTTAAAATAAAATAATCTGTTTTTTTTTCTGTTCTAGATCCAAGGATGAATTGATAGAACTTGTTTCAGAAATAGAATTTTATAAAGAGGCTCCAGAAAGCATTTCAAGACCTGTATGTGTACAAATTTTATTTAACTGTATATCAGATCAAATATTTACAATACTTTTAATACATATATCTTAGGAAACAACACAGAACAATCCTCATCAACTGAGACTGGCTCGTTTGGAATGGGAATTGACACAAAGAAAGCAATTGGCAGCATTGTGCGATGAATTAACAGACAGTAAAAAGGGAGTGGCATCCAGTATCGAAACGAAACAGACTCGCTTGGATAATCTCATGCCACAACTACGTTCTATATTGGAGGTATTAAGTTGTATTAATGAAATATAGTATATAAAATATTCTTATTAAATATTCATATAAATAATAAGTACAATTTTTTGCGTTTTTAGGCGAGCAAACCGCTACAAGAGAGTCTCGGATTGCCATTAGATAAAATTCGCCAGGAACACCAAAGAGCATCGTTGCTTGCATCACCGCTCTATGTATTATATGCGAAGGCATCTGCTTACAGAGACGCTTATGGTACAATTAATATATACAATTGAGAATGCTTATGGCTGTTTTTTATGAGTTATAATTTTTTTTATAACTTTGTTGAAATATATTGTAGACAACACTTTGCTGGTCAAAGTGGAAGGTGACGAGGATGAAGCAAAACGCACAAACAATCAGGATGGTATGCAAGAGTCTGATTCAGATCCTGAGACTCAGCAGGAGAATCTTGTGGAGGAAACACTTGTGCACAAGAAGAGACATCACAGATTATCCCGAGAAGCCAGGCAGGAGGAGAAGCGGTTGAAACTGCTACAACGACATCCGTTGCACGTGACGATTGTAATTACATTAAAAAGTAAGTATTAAATATACTTACAATCGTACAAGGTACGGAGTGTTAAAAAAAAATTAATTTTGTTTAAACGAAAGCGTAAATTATGTTAAAAAATGCACGAAGTCCATTTGATATCTCGAAAAATCTTGCTTCAGGTTTTATTGCGAAATTAATCTTTCAGATGAGACGAGGTTAACTCTTCATTTTTATTATACGATCCATTTAAAAGTTGTTACGGTGGAATCAAAACTTGAAACGGAAGACTTGGGAGGCATCAGTGCTGGGTAAGTACTGCGAGATTTAAAAATACTTATTTAGCTTATGTGATATTAAATTATTTCAAGTTGTAACATATATAATTGTAAATACTCTTGTTTGATAATTTGAAGCAGTATTTTCAAATTTCACGTTTGATTAATAGAGATATGCTAGTGTCCGAGTCGGTTCTTCGCGAATTGTACCCGCGAGATCTAGGATTGGAGAGTCCAAATCCAGCAAATCAGTATCAACTGTCACGGCATAATTTGAGCTCTTTTTCATCTCTGGGATTAGGCATTCCCTACAGATGGGCACAGAGAATGGCTGGTTTGCATTTCGTTTCATCTGACGTGAGCGAACAAAAGGTATATAGTATACAAAAGTATACACACATACTTTTATAATCATTAAAATGTTCAAAATATTATAAATTCTTTCTACTTGCCGTACAAAAATTGTTTCTTCGCTTGCGTTTAAGTTTTTTTTTTTATATTACAGCTCACTAGTCAAGAATTGGCACAAGATTGTGTGGAGAGCGTGTTAAAAGAAATTAAGCGGCGCATCAAAGCAAGATTGGATCTGTGTACGGAAATACGACAGTTGGAGTCCGGCAACTTGCCGATCCTCATTAGCACGACAGACCCGGTGCCGCAAAAGATCTCTACGTCGTTGCATCGATTTACAACCATGACGTGGAAAACGTATTCGAATTACGTTAGTTCGCCGGCATTTTGCCAGCGGGGATTAGTGTCGTCTGTAGACATCTTCTACGAGGCTGTACTTCGTCGCGGCAGTAGTACGTTCGTTGTCATCTCCATTTTCTACGAATTATTTTCAAAACATTCACATTTGAAACGTTTTTTTCAGGCGAACTCGTGGCAAGGATTGCCATCAAGCCGGATTACCCGAAGATAACGCCAGTATTTAGCGTGAACATCAGTCCGATGGTTCCGGCGTCTGCTGATATCATTCGAGACATCGAGAGAGAGATCAACGTGATGTGGACGAAATCGCCGACGTTGACGGCGCAGATACAACGGCTGCGAGCGTGCTTCGATATTTATCTGGAGACTGAGAGCATGGCGCCGAAGGAAAAAATATTTTTTCATCCTGTGAGAGGACGGACTCGCGCTCGACCATACAAATACTTATCGCTAGGAGGAGGCATATTCACTCACCGTTGAATAAATTATTCGACGTATGTTTCTTATGTGTATATGTATATATTTAATTCATTTATTTTTCAATACGTATAAATGATATAAAATATCGATTCTTTAAAGTGTATTTTTGACAGTATAAAATTTAATTTTGGTTTTAAGAGATTAATTAAAATTTTTAATCTCCCAGATGTTAAATTACTTTTTTTAGTAAGTTTCTAATTTTTTTTAAAAATAGAATTACATGTGTTTTTACAACTTAGTTTTTAATTTAAAATATATCGAGTTGATTTCTCTTAAAAATAAAATTTATACAGAAATAGATGTAAGTGGACGCGCAGTCTGAGCTCTAGAAACAGCTAAGAGATATGTGCGCAAGGTATTTCTCAGTTGTTTGTTCTCGAAAGTCAATTTGTCACATTCCTTCTTCATGAAGATGTTATCGGCCTTGATGTAATTGAATTGCTCCCAAAACTTTTCCAACTTGTCAAACGGCTCCGACATCTGCAAACAATCTTATTTAATGTAAACCTAGACACATACCTCTCACGTGATAACCTACGCAGCTGGTGAAGGCTCTTCTAGATCCCGTGTCGCGTAACGTATACTTCTGAACAGTCAGCGAGAACGGCTCCAAGCTCAAGCACATTTTTAATAATGAAAGCAGCGCCGAGCCCTTTTCTGAAATTCTTTGCAGTTCCTACAAATTGAACAAAACGAATTTCTTAAATATATATCTTTCTAGATAAAAATCTAAACGATATAATTTTTTAAGTATTTAAATTTTTTGCAACTTAATTAAACCAGATGAGAGTTGATGACATTTTTACTTTTAGAACGTTAGTGCTGATGGTAGTCAACTTCTTCAGCTGGGCGACATCCAAGCCTCGAGTCACGGCGAACGCCTGTCTCAAGCTTTCAGTTTGCTTTCTCATATGCGCGATCTGATTTTTGAGTTCCACTATGCTCTGCTCCCTCTTCTCCGATAACGTGTGCGTGTCCTGCTTCAGGTTCTTAATCGTGCTCTGCAACTGCGCGTGAAGTCTCGGATATTGCGCCACGTCTGCGCGATGAACGTCGTCTTGTTCCTTCAAGTATTCATACTGCTTCCTCTTGTTCTCTGTGCTGCTCTCGTACTCGGTTATCGTTTCGTTAAGTTGTCGCCATAACGCCTCGATTTCATGGCAAGTGTATTGCATTAAGCGCGACAAGGAATCTTCCTTCTGAAAGAATTTTGAGCTGTTAACATCTGTGAAACGGTATAATGAACGAAATATCCGCACCAAGTAGACGACGCTGTATATGTTGGCGGCGTTCTGGATCTTCGTCTGCGTCAATCTGTCTTCTATCTCCTTATCTTGTCCGAAGATCATGTTCTGCAGTTGCTCGCACTGTTTCTCCAAAGCCCTTCGTACTTCATGCAATTTGTTCACCTCGTTTAAAGCGACGTGATCGCGCTCGTGCGCGAAGAACTCGTGCAGATGCGTGCATTTCTGCCTGTATTTTCCTAAATAATATGAATAATTAGAAATTTGTATAATTACATTTTTGTAAATATACAAATTTATACACATAACATGATGAATCACCAATCATCAGATCCATTATTTGAATATGAGCCTCTTGCAGTCTTCTGTGATCCGCATCAGCTGTCCCGAGCTCACCATACAATCGCTGTATTATGACGTCTTTCGTCTTCATCATGCGATCAAAATTTTTCCAAAGATACTCCACGTCTTCGTGAAGTTCTTTACATTTTATTCGGCGCAGAATAAATCGCCATTGTTCGTTGATCTTCGCGGTGTTCAATCGTGAGAACGCCTCCTCGCGCTTCAGCTTGTTCTACATTTGAAAATTGATTTACTGCAAAATCACATTGTTATAATTTTCCAACTTATATACCTTGGTAAAAGCCGCGATCAATTGCTGCTTCCGCCGCTTGGCCTCTAACTCCAATTCGGCTCGATGCTGCAAGTAGCGGGCGCGTTCCTCGTCGCTCATGCGAGCCAGCTTGTTCCCTTTTCCCTTCTTTTTCGGCATTTTGCGGCGAATGAAAGATCTTACTCGCAAATTAGTATACAAGTTATTTATTCTTAACAGGATACACAAATTTTCTTCAGAGATAACAACGCAGTGGGACTGCCGGACTCAGCCGTGCAGAGCTCATGTTTGATCAATAGCGACTGACTTCTATACATTACGTCGCTTTACAAAATCACAAAATATGTCGCTCATAAAACTTTTATCCGACTTATATCGAATTCACCTCGAATAAGACATCGTCAAATTTTTATTCGAAAAATTATTGTATTAATTTTATAAAATCTATCAATTTTATAAAATTTTATAAAAATATTCTCGCGTGCGTGTTTGAAAGATAATACAATTTGGTATACGTTTCAACAAGATTAGACGTAAATCTAAATTTAAATATTCTCTTACACTACAATAACCAGCTAGAGAGAATATACAGAATGTTCCAGAATGGTGCAATAGCGTCGCGAAGTTTAAAATTCTAATACGAAAATTTGTGAAACATTCTGTATATTTATACGTGATATGGAAATGGAAATGTTTCTTATCATTTACAAGATAATTAATGTTATCTCATAAACATTTACAAGTAAACATAATATTGTCGAGATGGTGAAGAACAGAGATTCACGTACATTTGTACACGATACAAACATTTTCTGGCTAAGATTGCGGACGAAGCAAGGCATCGAGGATGAGGAACTATCGAATTTCGTACTTTAATTGAAGCTCGTATAAAAATCCCTTGCATTCATCGCGAAAATATTATGTAGTTGCCCCGCAACGTAAACATATAGTTTCTATAGGCTCTTTGTATTATATTTGGTGGAAGACCTTAAACGCAATATATATATATATATATATCCTTAAATGCAATAGGCAATAAAGGCAATGATTTTTTTTAGCTTCCAACGCGTCAGATATTCTTCTGCATCGTCAGAGGCCTGTTGTCGATCTTCTCCACGGACACCGGCCGCTCCTTCGTCGTCGGTATGAAGCTCTGAGTGCGTCTAATCCTCTCGCCTCCTCTCAGAGGACGCGTTACGATTTGCGTTTCCAGCAGAAGTTGAGCCTCCTCGGCGCGCTTCACCTTTTCGCGCGCAGCGCGCAGCTCGGCGTCTAAATGCTCTCTCTCCGTTTCCAGCTGCTGAAGCCGTAATTCGGCATCTGAAAATTGAAGAATGAAAACTAAATTGCACGAAATGAATTAAAACTGTTCAAAATACATATAAATTGAAATAAAATAAGATACAACGTGACGGATGGACGGCGAAAGACTTAGAAATATAAAAATTTTGAACTTCAGAAAATTTGTTAGCATAATTAATAATGTTTACGATATATTATGAGTATATTTCAGCTTTCATATTCTGGGATCTGTACCTTGCAACTGCCGCTCGTTTTTTTGCTGCATTCGTTCGAACTCCAGTCTCTTATTCTTCTCCATCTCCAGCAATTCCTGCTGCTCCTGCTGCAGCCTTTCCAGCTGCTCTCTCTTCTCCCATTCTTCGCGCAATACTCTCGCTTGCAAGCCTCGTACTGCAACATATATTTCAAGTGTACGATCTGACAAAATGTAAAAAGCGATATGCAAATTACGTACGATCTTCTTACCTATTTCTTCATCCCGCAGCGCTTGTTTCTCCTCCTGCAGCAGCATCTCCAGTTTCTGCTTTGCGTCTTCCAGCTGCTGAACCTTAGCGCCCTCCTCCTTTGACAGAGCCTCCAATTTCCGAGCCTGTATTTCAGCGGCGATCCTAGCTTGCCTCTCGTGTTGCAATTCCAGTCTGGTCTCCTCTTTCTCCTGTTTAGTAGCCTGGCGGCAGCAGCGCAACGCGTTATTAAATAAATTCTAACTAAATCTATTTTTAATTTCTTTTTGCCAATTTTTTACTTGTCGCAAAGATCTCCTCTGATTCGCCAAACTTCTCTGGTAGCCGATCTTCTCGCCCGAATGTTGAATGGCCGTCTGTAGCGCCGCGAGCCACTGCAGTCTGCCCTTGTGATCCTCCGCAACCAGTTCTATGCATCTGTGTTCGGGAGTGCTGAGCACGAATCTTCTGTCAGGCTTGCCACTGTTTGTCAGAGTGTCGGCCCAACAGTTGGTGTTCAACAATATCAAGCCGGACGGCTCCTTCTGCTGACGATCTTTATAATATGTCAATTCACCAGGGCGCAGCACGAACCAGAAATATCGTAATGTGGGCAGTAGAAAGCCTTTCTTCATCAAGTAGCCCTGCAATGTTTCGAATAATGTTAATATTTACATTTTTATAATTATTTAGAATTAAATTATTGCAATTTCCTTTTTACAATCTATTACGTGGAATTTTAATTCACCTTTTTCACCACGTTCTCCACGTAAATCTGAAAGAGATCGTCGATCGCCTCTGTCAGCGCAACGGTGTCCAGGGTATTGCCACCGCTATATTTGGATTCCAGAACTGCCAGAAACGTCGGGAACCTTGGCGAGAGAATTTTCATGAACAAATTGCATTCTTTGTATTTTTATTTATCTTTGATCGAATAAACGATAAGCTACCTAAACATTCCGATTGCCGCTGATAAAGCAGAGAAGTCCGCCGCGTCCCACTGCAGGCCTAAAGACATCACCAGATGAGATGCAACCCGCGCCACCTCATCTCCGTGCATTGTTACCTGCGTCACAAAGGCGATATATCAGATATCAAATTGAGGAATGTGTTTTCAAAGGAGTAACTACCAACCAGATAAGAATCCATTGCATCTGACTCTGTTTCAGCCAGAAGACAGTAAATTCTGAACAACTGGTAAACACTGTGATCCTCAAAGACGGGATGGGATCTCTCCAAATAGAGTTTTTTGCAGACCAGCCAACAGATCTCATCTATTCCCTCCTCCAATGTTCTCAGTGTTTCTATAGACGCAGTATCAGTCACAGAAGAAAACACCTAAAGCAATAATATGTTACATTGACAATTTTTGTTGCAAAATTATTTCAGCTTAAGATAAAAAGTAAAAATGAAGCAAATGTTCTTATTGTTGAGGGAAAAACATTTCCAAGCCAAACTTGATAAAATATTTAGAAATACTTGTCAAAGTATTTTGATCACAAAAATATAGATTAAAAATATTTTTTATCAATATCTTTTATTTTGTAACGTAAACATTATTTTATTTCTAGTATATTTGCTTAAATGTTTGATAAAAATAGATACTTTAGTTTGAGCACAAAACGCTCCAAAACGTTCCTTTCCTCTCAACAAACAGCAGCATTGGCATTTGCTCCATTTTGTCCAAATGATTCATGATCTCTTCCTTTTAAGGAATCTTACTTACTTCTTTCTGTAAATAGTAAATATAATGATCAAATGTTAAACTCTGTGTACTCCGGTAATGTTCCAGACCCTTTTCCACTCCATACAAGTCCATCAACGTACCAATATTGGCTGTCAACACCTACAAGCGTCAAATTTAAAATAAAACACACCTATGCATGATATATTAAATTATAAAAAAAATTAATATTTTATATTATTTGTACATTAATATTATTAACATTAATAATTCAATATTATACTTAATATTAATTGTAAACATAAATAAGCGTGCGAAATAAGAGTACGAAACAAAGCACGAGTGACAGATCGCTAGCACCTGAGGACAGGCTCTCTCAGCCTTCTGTCAATTCTTCAGCTTTACCTTTAATTTCGACTTCGCGACGGTGTTGGTGGCGTCGGCCTGCAACGCGTGAAACGCGTGCCAGATGCTGTTGGTAAGATTTTTGAGCAAATGAGCCATCGCGATCACACCCGACACCTCGGTCGACAGCAACAGGTGTTTTTATCTGCACCCCCTTATCGCGCTCCTATCCGCGCATATCTTTCTTTAAATGGCCGCGAATGGCGTGTTTTCCCTTCTCCGCACTTCTCAAGATACCAATTTTCTTCGGAGTTCTGCCATTCGTCACTATATCACGTTCTCTCGCAGTAAAGATGACGCATATGTATATCGTTTACATCTTTATCAATTGGATCTGTTTTCTTATAGCTGCATCTTTTTTACATTTTACTTCTTTCTTCTCTTTCTCCCTCCAACGTTCAATATTGTCCATTTCATTACGAGTGTAAAAAGTGTCACATTCTACAAGTGAAAGAATGACTCCGTACACAAGTCGTTTTACTTGCACTTTCTGCGTTTTGCGTCCTTTTCTTTCTTTCTTTGCACTCATAAGTGCACGTTAAGGGTACATTCACATAAATTTGAATAATTGAATAATGCATCAATCAATCAGTCACGTGTCTAATGTAAATTTATAGGTCTGTTCTTTATAGCTGAACTGGCTGCACTAGTTCAGAGTTTATCTTTCTTCTTCTAATGTGGAGGGAAAAAGATAAACTCTAAACTAGTATAGCTAGTTCAACTATAAAGAACAAACCTTATGTCAGACAGATGATTGGCTCGTTTCCTTAAGCACATGCATTATTCATGTATGCAAATTTGTTTGAATATACCTTTAGGTCGGTTTTTTAGGACGTCCTAAAAACGTCCTAAAAACATTTTTAAAACGTGCTAAAAATAAAAAAAAAGACATTCTTAAGACGTCCTAAAAACGACCTAAAAATGACGTCGTTTTTTAATTTCTGTAACAATTGGCATTCTAAATTTTGCAACAAAAAACTTTTAAAAGAGACGTTTTAATTATTTAAGTGTTTTACAAGCATCCTAACACTATTAAAAGTAGCCTAAAAGCGAAAATAAGCATGTAGAAAGGTTACAGTTATCTGTTAATAAAATGACCTAAACGCTCCATTTATGCGGAATTTAAAAAAAATGTTAACAGGAGTAGTGTCATTTATTGGCTATTAGCTAAAGCAACATTACCAATGCATTGATGATAAGTGTACTAACTGCACTGCTTCGAGTGAACTCCTATATCATCATGTGCTCCTGTTAACATTTTTTAAAAATCCCGCATAAAGTGGAGCGTAAGAAAGAAGACAGAAATAGTAATGTCTGCTCTTTTCTAGTATCGAAGCTAACCGAAGTGCAGAGCTCACATGTACGTGACTTGCGTATGTGTGCGGTATCTCCCACCCTCATGACTATACATGAGTTGTTATCAGTTTGGTTAGAATTTTCGGCGCGTTGACGGTATGTCAAAGTCGATATGGACCTTTTTGTTACTTCTTCAAGTGTGTCTTGTTGGAAATACGGTTGGTTCAGTAGGTGACAGGTCGCGAGTGTACAGTCAATGTCTAACTGTATGTCGCAATAAAAACTGCGTAGATGGTAATGATTACTTATTTTTCTTACTCATATTTTCTTTCATAACAACATAAATTGACATTCAAAGCAATAATGATTAATGCTGCAATAGAAATTAAATTAAATAAGTTCAAATAAAATTATGTATAAATTAGACGAAGTGAAAAGAGATCGAGATAAGAATAAACAGGCTATCGTGTGTCTTATTTAGATCTTTCTAAATTAATTTTTGTTTTATTTCGTAAAAAAAAAAAAGAGTACGCTTGCGTACCGTGAATATATAAAAAAAATCCTTTTTTAATATTTGTAATAATTTATTTTTTTGGAAGCGTTATACGGAGCTATTTCAATATTTTAACAATCGATAAGATTATGTCAAGGTATGTCCAGATTAGGTCAGTCTTACATAATTCGTTCCCCGATTATCTCAAATCTGATTAGAAAATTAGTCGAGGTAACACAAATTAGTCGCACAAGTGGCGGTCCTAAGGCGGTGCCAGAAAATCGAGATCATATTCTTCGAGAGAAAAATTAAATAGAGAAAAAGTTCAAATGTAATTAATTTGCATTCGTTTTCCATTTATTTCAGAAGTAAACGTATCGCGATTATTTTGATCGAGATATATTTTTGTACGCAATTCAAGCAACTACACATTTGCACTGTAAAATATAACAAAAATATTTCTCTGTCAGAATTAATTTAATTTTGAACTTATTTGCATGTTGTAGAAATATATTTTAAGAACCAACCATCTTTGCCATTAATTTTGCTAAGGTGGACATGCAAGGAAGATTGCAGTTACATTTGTACATGGATAACTGTTAAGGTTTTTATATCCCAAGGATTGGAAATACCGCAGTTTCACGGAAAAGTAAGCAAAATGTAGAAACTTAGAACTTTGTGTAATTTTATAAGAATCATATTTGTTAGATAAACAATGAAATAAAAAATTGTTTCTCTTTGCAGTGGCCGTTTATTCGTCTATTTGGATGTCAGGAACCTGCCTCAGTTTTATTCTCCATATTAAATTTTTGTGCACACTGGAAAATGTTTCAAAAATTTAGGAGAAAAGTGGATCCAACTAGTCCTATGTTTTATCCTTGGGCATATTTCAGCATTGTGAGTACATTTAAATGTCTCAAAATATGAGTTTTTTTACTAATACGGAATTCATGTTTTCTTAGTTAAGATATTAATGGAACTTATTTTTAATGCAACTCCGAAGCTTTAATTTTATTTCAGATATGTTTGAATGGATGGATTTGGTCCACTATATTCCATTCGAGGGACAGGCCATTTACGGAAGCCATGGACTATTCTTGTGCGTTTAGTATGGTACTTACACTCTTGTACTGCATGTTATTAAGGTAATGTGTAATAAGATCGTACATCTCTCCTTCCCTTTCTTTTTTTAATATCCAATATTTTAAAATATATTTTAGAATGAAAACCTATTCAGACTCTATTTTAAAAAACATGCTGCAAAATGTTAACGTATATAAATATTAAATCTTTATTAAATTTACAGTTAAATTTAATGCACTCCTTCATTATTTTTAGGATAACGTATAAAGAGAATAAAGCATTTATTATAATAACTTGCGGATATGTGAGTATTCTGTGCAAGCATTTATCGCACTTATGGTCAGGCAAAATTAATTACGGTTATAATATGACGCTTAATGTAGCGATAGGCAAGTTTTATGTTGAATTTGATATCTTTACAGAAAGATAATTAAATGAAGATACTTCATGAAGACCGATTGTTTATGATTCCAGGGTTGACGACATTCGCGATAACGATGCTGTGGTGGTATCTTAACAGCAACAAATTGCCCCACGCGTACTTAATCGGTTGGTTTAACATATTTACTGTTTTCGTGACTTCGCTCGAATTGATAGACTTTCCACCTATCTATTGGGTATTTGACACGCATTCCTTATGGCACGCTAACACTATTTTTTTAACGATAATGTTATATAGGTAAATATGAAAAACCATAATTATAAATAGTAATAATGTATATAAATATTTAGTTATTAATTGAACAATATACGTTTATATAATAATTATACAAATTAGTTGCAACAACTAGTTATAAAGATAAGTTTTATTCAAGAATGCAAGAGAAATATAATTTAATTGTAAACTGTGATCAGACGCATATAAAGTCCTTTATTAATATAATTATTTATATGACAGAATTGTAACTGTAAATAATTATATTTGCTCTACAGGTTTATGATCTCAGATTGCTGTTATCTAAAAACGTATTACAACAGATCACTTTTAGACGCTGACCATCATGAGCATTAAATTTTCTTGATAACATATATAATTGAGTCTATATACATTCTTCAAACTGTGTAAGGTAAGAAGAAAAATACTAATTTTAATTGTTTTATATATCAAATTATTACAATATCTTTTTATTCTGAAGGAAGGTTTGATGTAAGAGATAAAAAATGCGCGATTAATAATAGAATATAATAAAATTTTATTTCGTAGTTAATAATAAAATGCATCTAGATATGTCTACTCTATTCACTACAGATAAATATAAAATTTATTATATAACATTGCTAAAAAAAATTTATAATAAGAATATTGTAATAAAAATTTTAATATTCATAATTTTATGTTTTTTATAGGGCAGTATAACAAACATTGGCAGGAAAATCGTAACATCTGCAATTAATAAATGCAGAAAATTTAAATATTTAGCAGTCCATTAAACATAAATACGGTATTGTGTGAAATCTTTCTCCTTTCCGTTTTTATGTATTGTATATAACGAGTTGAAATGCGCATATTACAGTTTGTTTTGTTCCAGAAAAATATAACAAAGTTATTAATTTATAAAACATGACAAATGCGTTCAATTAAAAATCATACCCTGGTTATACAGAGTGTCCCAAATAAGAAAATATCTCAAAAACAAGGCATGTACTTAGTGTTTTACACAGCTATCAAGCTCAGATCAAGGATTCTGTTTTATTGCCTTCTTAAAGCGAAACAAGTTTTGTCAAGTTTGTTTTGTTTTTTTAAGATATTTATTATTTTATATTTTCTTATTTGGAATACTGCATGTAAGCGACGTATCATATAACAAATATTTAAGGATTTATTTTATCGGGATATTAAAGATAGATACTAAAAACATTAAATTTTCGCAGAATATTCTGTAGAATTCAAATTTCCAAATATTTCAAGGAGCAAATTAATTACGTATTTAATGTATTTAATAATTGCTCCCATTATTTAAGGCTTACTAGTTACTTTTTTTCATCACGATAAATGTAAACGAAGTCAGACTTAGTCGATCACTTAATAGATTGCGTAAGTTTGTGCTATATGGATATATTTTTGAATAATAATTAGAAAAAATGAATGTGTAATGAAAAGTAATTCTATTATATGATGACAGCATATATGAATGCATTTGAACTAATACATCCGATTGTATGAATCGATTGTATGAGTCGATTTCTACGTACTACGGTTTTAATATTCTTTATGCACTTTTAACAGAAGTATCAGAGAACGTTATCCTTTAAAAATATGAATAGAAAGTTATTCCTATGTTATTCGTTTCTTTAATCTTAAAATAATATTTCTTGTTGATTTGTTTTTTTCTATTTTAAAATAATGTAAATGGAGAATGATTTCTACTATGAACTCGATTATTCTTTTTTTTATCATGTCAATGCTGTTTCACATGGCTGTGTAATGGCACAAGTGAAATTCGATTAATCTAATAACAGCTATTTCATTGAGTATACATTAAGTGTCGTAAGTGCCTTAATATTCATTGCATTTATTTTTGAAGTTATGCTGATTTAACTTTATTCAAAATTTCTTCCTTGCAGAAGAGATAAGAAATCAAAAATTTTTTTTTTCTAGATTAATAAATAAATTAATAAATAATAAATAAAATTGTAAATCTTGATTAATTGTCATAATTGCCCTTTTTTCTGAAAATAACTATATTGCTTGCCTTTTTCTTTACTGATAGTTATTATTCATGATTATTAAAATATTGCACGGTTTTTTCCCTAGAAAAAAAATAAACCTTAAAGCATTTACGACGCTTGCGTATACCGACGCACAATAATCATCCGAACACTTTCGAGGAAAATTTTCGAGAGAAACGCATATCATATAATAATATATCACAATCTATTTTATCAACTTTCGCGTACTTAGCTGTTCGCGTACGAAATATGCGTATCTCCAAACTCTGATATATAAAATCGGAAACGAGCCGCGTGCGGAGACGCGCACTCATCTTGCTCATCATAAGTACTCATTATTAAGTAATTATGACAACTCGTTAAGAATACTTTAAGTATTTCGAGTATTTGTAAGTCTCAGTGCTTGAACAATGCCTCGTTTTCGGGGTTATCGTCCCTGTGCTTCTCGAGATTTCCTGACAGGGTCGGATCTGGTCGCCGCCTTTTGAAGAAACCGAGTTTCCGCAATACTAACGTAAGTAAAATGAATAATAACATACCCGCTACCGCGGCCACTATGTATATCCATACAGGTACGGGCTCAGCTTCTTGCTGATCTAACAGATCTGGGTAAGCGATCGTCTCGGCCTGTACGATAATATAAAATAATTAGCAAACATGATTTTTGTTGGCATGAATAATGTTTTAATATGCATTGTTGAATCTAAGATCGATATTTTCTTATCAGCCTTAGTTTTTAAGTACAAAGAGTATTATTTTATATAAAATATACTTACCATTGTATGGTCGTCCTTTAAATTTTCTTGCTGGATTACAATATTCGGAGGTATCACTAATCTAGCGTTCGAGCCTATTCTAACCATATCTACTTTCGGATAATCCTCGACCAGAGTAGAATTCCAAAGTCTAAAACGAGTTATTTTTTTAAAACCTTCAGTTTTTAAATTTATACAATTGAAATATTAAGATTTTACGTTATGAATGAAAAATTTTATATTACAACTAATAATAAGATTAGTTTTCATATAATTAAAATTATAATTTTATATTTTCGTACCTTGCTTTAACAGTTATAGTAGCTTCCTGCTTCCTCTGTAAATTGTAGATGTAGCATGTGATGTCGAAGCACTTCGCTGTGCCGGCTTTACAATTCTGCAAAGTGAAATCTTTCATTGTGAAACGTGTTACTATAAAAATTCTATAGAAGGTAAATTGACCATTTCAATATTTCATATAAAAATTTCATGTTCTTTCAATTTCAGGTATATTTAATTTTCATGATTTGTAATTTTACATAGCTGTAAATAAAGATTCTGTAATTATCTTAAAATCTTACGAATAAAAAGATTATTGACTTTTAACTTTGCAATTTCGATCTTTTCCGAAACAAAATCTTATATAAAAATGTTATCTTTTCCACGTGAAATCATTACTTTCATCGCCAGAAAATTATCCTGCAAATCCATTATAATGTTGTTTCTAATCTCGAAAGATTTAACCCTGCGAAGTACAAGTGAGATTCTTACCATTGCAACCGTACGGCGGCGTTGTCCACTTTTGTCGATCGTTGTTCGCGTATTTACAACCTTCTCTGTATCCCGCGTTGTTCTTATATGATTAGTGTGATTGTATAAGACAGTTGATGGCGTTGAGGATTGCAAGATACCATCAGTATCGTCGAAGTTGATGCTATCTTGCAACTTTAATGGGTTGACTACGTGTCCTGGTGGTAGCGTACATTCACCATCTCCTAGAGCTAAATCACATTTAAAATTAGTCTTCCTTTCTTTCCAATAATTCTTATATCTACATTAAGTTTCTCGATATATGAGAACAATGTACTAAAAATTTCGTACACTTTAGGTATCTTGATCTGAGATCGGTGTACAATTTAACTGTCTCTTGTGGACTAATTTATTAATTTCTTTAAGAAAAATTAAAAATTTAGCACTAACATCCTGCGACGGCTCTTAATGCTCTTCTATTATATTTCTTGATTGTTATCATATGGAGCCTTACTATTATATGTGTTTTTAAAATTAGTTGTATTCTACGGACATACTAATTTTAAATCTCCTCTTAATATTGCTCAATTCGTATTACTTTGAACAGTGGGCATCTCTTCCATGTACAGCAGCCACTTGCCGTGCGCTTTGTCATTCGCGACTTCGTAAGGCCACGAAATGCGCACTTCGACGGTGCTGACTTTCCACGGGCCTTCATTGAACACCTCGTAAATGTGCGATATCTTCGGTCCCACCTCGTTCAAATGTTTTATCGCGGATTCACCGACCACCGGACCACCGTAAAACGCCCACTGAGTTTTCGTGCTCCTGCACAAGCAATATAAAGCGTAAATATATTTTCATATTAACATAACGTGATAGAATATAAATTAATTCAGTTGAATTAAGTCAACGATTTGTGGAAGAAGATTTCGAAGGAAATATATCAAGTGATTATAAATCAGAATAATTACGCTTTGATCGAGAGCTCGGCGCGTTTTAACACTGTCGCTTGCAGCACAGTAGGCCGCTTCTCCCTGACTTCTTTCGACGTGGAGTTTGCGAAAACCGTGAAGCCCAACTGCGACTCGTTGTCCTCGAGTCCTTTGGGATCGAATCTCACTTGTATGTCCATCGCTTTGTCCTTCTTAAACGGATTGCCGATAGAGCACGACACCAGGGTGGCGTTGTGCAAATTGCAGATCACGGAATCGTTGCTCTTGCTGGCGATATAATTCAAGTTTTGCGAGTGAACGATGAAGAGCTGAGCTTCGTACGCGGACTCGCCGACATTCACCACGTTCACTTCCACCACTATCTCCTCTCTTTCGCCCAAAAGCAGTTCGTAGAAGTTTGGCTTTATGGAAGAAGCTGATATAACAAGGAATATTTCATTAAATTCTATTCACTCTTGATGATCTCAATCTTGTTTTAGTAGTTTTGTGGTTTTTAATGTTGTATTTTATAGAAATAAAAGTAATGATTTTTCGTCTGGACATAATTTTAGATAAAAAGAAACTAGATGTTTACCTGATAAATTCAGTTTAGCTGCCACTTGCAAATCGCTTTCGCAGATATCGTTATTTCCACAGTCCTTCTGGAAGACGGCTTCGAATATGCGCGCGGCTTCTTGCTGATTGAGTATCGGATAGTTTTTCATGTCAGGTAAAGGAGCACCTTCGGGTGGCATAACCGGTTCTTCTTGTATTAACGAATAATTCAGCCGGAATTTAATGGGAGATTGAATATCGCGGGTGTTTTCCTGTTAAACATTCACAATAAAAGTGGATTTATTCTACGAATAAAGCTAAAACTTGTATTTAATTTGAACAAAGCTTTGTGTAAAAATTGAAGTTTCTTCAATAACTCTTTTTATTTTAATAAATTTTTTTTTTAAGTGCAAAACTGCATAACACCAAAAGTTTAATTGCAAGACTTTTTGAAAATTAAATATGTATGTAATTGTTAATAACAAAGCAACGAGCGTTAGTTTAATAATCAAAACGTATGTTGAATAATCAAAAGAGTTGTGTAAGTTTTTATACTTTTAAACGTATGAATACAAAATATTTCAATTTACCTTTAAATAGATGATTTCCTTCTGGCAATGTATCAACTTTGTGGTATCTAGGGTGACCGTCCGGTTGATGTAGTTGGGACGTGCGCTACCGCTGGCGCCAAACCAAACTCTCGAGAATTTCTTAGCTCCGGAGTACGTTTCCGCCTCGATGTAATAATTCAATCTCAGATTCTGCATAGATTCCTCCTTCGCCAACGATTCTGTCTTGCAGCAAGCCTCGAACGTGAAACTGCAGAATTTAAAGTACGCTCTTAATACTCATAAACGACAGTACGTTGTGTTTTTCATTTTTATATGCTACTTAAATATACTTATTCGTTTTACAAGTTCCGTGGAGGATTACTAACCACGTATGATTCGAATCAGGATCGGCCCAGCATCCGATCCTGTTAGGATCAATGGGTTCTATTTTATCCTGATACGTCCCATCCTTTTTAGCGTAACGAATATAAGTGGAGATGTCGATTATTTTTTTGGAACGAAGAAGCACGACTGCATCGTTCTCGTACGCACCGATCAAGAGATCGGAATAACCATTGTGATCCATGTCGATGGCACCGCTTAATGAGTAACCAAATGTTTTCAATGGCGTAGGCATATCTTCAGCATGAATGATCTAAACAATAAACGCAACAAGATAAAATTACACAGATGTAATAATAAATTATCAAATCATAAAAATTAAAAACTAAAAAAAGATAAATTTATGTTAAAAGAATAGAGCAATAAGAGCTGACAAAGTTTCTTACCTGCGATGGTGTTTTAATGATGCCATTCTTAGAACCTAAATAGATGTAAACCGTTCCTTTCCCTTCGTATGGCGCGCCAATTGCAATATCCTCGTATCCGTCTTTGTTCAAGTCTCCCAAATTCGTCAGCGCAAATCCGAACCTATAGTTAATTCGTTATTATCATATTTAAAGTCGATTCAAGCAAAGCATGATAAGAATATGATGAACCTTGATTCCTCATGGCCAACTAGCTTGACAGGCGAACATTTCTCATTATTAATTCTACATATATCCAGCGCAGTATAAATGTAGACAGCTCCACCTTCAGCCTTATTGAAATAAAACGGCGCCGCAACGATCAAGTCGGTTATTCTAAAAGAATAAACATAACAAGGTATATAAATAAAATTTAACAAATTTTTCTTGAAATGCTAAACTCGTGAATAATTAAAAAACTCGATTGTATATTAAATGTGACATTGCTTACTTGTCTCCGTTCACATCTGCTGACATGATCTCATATCCGTAGCTCGAGGCAAATTGCTCGCCGTCCAGAGTAAGAGCGATATCCATGTCAGGTTGGAAATCGCGCCTGGTGAACAAAATCACTTGACCCGTGCCGTTTGAGCGAGGCGCGCCCGCCGCATAAGCCAAACCTTTGTCAAAGAAATTTCCAGCTGCCACAGACATCCCTATAACACAACATTCAAATGTTATTTAAGTAAAGATAATGTGTATGTTGCCTAAGAATCAATAATTTTGTAACAAAATTTAAGAAACCTTTCAATTTAAAATGACATCATTAATATCTTACACTTTGGCCAACGCATATTTAAATATTTGCGCTTTATAAATGCTGATTAAAAAATTTAGAGCTATCTGAATAATTTATAATTTGTTAAAAAATTGCTTAATAAATTTGAAGCTAAATCCAAGACAAAAATCTTATATCGCAAATTTATGGCATTAATGTAAAATGTCTAACGTAAGAATTCAACAGTTCTCAACTAGAGAGATTACTTTATTTAATGATAACATTAATGATAAACTAATGATACCCACCGAGATAACTGTATTTATTCACAGGCGAGGAATCTTGCATTGGCGCGTTATAAACCGTGTTGTCTCTGGTCAAAAATTCGTCGGACACAGTGAATAGATATATAGTTCCTCTCCACGTGTGCGGTCCCGGGGTGCCAATCACCACGCGATCTTCCGCGGTCAATAAACCGCTGGTCCCAGCTTGACAATAGCCGAACTGTTCGTGTGCTACTAAAAAAAAAAAATCGAGATAGTTTCACAATAATTAATCGAAATTTTATAAATAAATAAAATATGAAAATGATATTACTTGTTTGTGGGCTTTCCAGAGCATGGCTTTTTCAAATCTTCGTATTTCAAGTCTTGTGATAGGATGTAGCATTGACCCTGGCCCCATTGAGAGTCTGCCGTCTTGACGATATGGCGATGCGCGCATACCTGCAGACAGACGTAATTAATAACACCTTTCCTCTTTAAGATATGATATCGCTGCTTTCACGACTGTTGACTTACCATAACTTTACCTCCTGCTCCTTGACTGCGTACCGTGACTCCCAGCCATTGATTATCTTTTATCTCGTCGTTTCGTGGCTCTACTAAATCATCCGATTCCAAGTCTGAAAAAAATGTCGCACTTTTGACAATCCTAGCTTTGGAAATGCGTTATCCCCATACTTAAGAATCAAAATAGTGCATTTTATATATTTAAATTATGCAATATAATACAATTCGCAGTATTTGTGTAGTGAGAGTTAAATACTTGTTATCATAATTTCTTAAATAAATTTGAAGGCGATAAGACAACATTTTAGAAGCAAATAAAAAATTAGAGTTATCAAAATTTGTAATATAAAATTATTATCATATTAGAATAATAGTTGCAAAATGATAAGTGGCAATTAAATAGCAGAATTTTATGAAATTAGTGAATCACAAAAATATGACATGATTGAATAAATAAGTAATTTTTAATTATCAAACAGTTAATTAGTTTAAAATTTTAAGTGAATTGAAGTAAATTATTTTTATATTAATACATCATGTAGTGGCCATGCGTATATCCATAAGTATGAATGAAAAAAATACTGCACAATAATAAGTATTTAAGAATGTTTTCATTCTTTCCTATCACTTTGTTATCATCATATACTGTTATATTTTTCTTTCATTCATCTTTATGAATAATAAGCAACGATATTAGTAGAGGCAAAAATGTCAGCTTGCATCAGTTACATAAAAAATGCTGTAAATAATTATGCATTGCTGTTGTGCCTTGCAATTATTGTTGTCGTGAAATCTTTTGTTCCTTTTTTTTTGTTATTTAAAACAAGAAAAGGGCAAAAGAGAAGACGAGACAAAAAGAGAGAGTAGGAAGAACAAGCTTTTTAATAAAAGAATTATTATGCAATAAATTGGGATTAATTCTTTTCATATTGCATGCTATTTTGCCTTTTAACTTATGACTCTTTTTATCCATGAGAGATATATGCAATCTTGGATAGCAAACCGTTGGTAAAAACTCTCAAACTCTTCATTCAATTCATTCTGCAAAGGCTCTGCTGAAATTTATACACTTACTTGAATCGTATAATTCGTATTCGTATGGTCTGTATAATAGACCATCGCCCACTGGTTTACCGAAACATGATTCAACAAAAAAGTGTCTTATTATACACAGCATGAAATTAAGTGTCAAACTATAATTAAATAAATACGTTGCATCGACTAAAGACCCTATTTGTTGCAAAACAAAGATGTGTGCCATTCATTACTATTCTCAATATTGAATGTAATGTAGAGAACCAAATAAATTAAACTATAAAATTTTTCTAATACAATAGTATCATAAATATACGAATTCAGTTATCACAATAATATGATCAATGAGATGATAAATAACACAATATATAAAACATATATATGCACATACGTTTCCGTCCATCCGTAATAACTTGAATGCAATCCCTTGTATATGTTGTCAGTGGACATTGCCATAATGCTCCTGATCTGTTTGTTCCTGGCTGTCGATTTTGATCCAAAGGTGCACCAACCAGCATCCTACAAAAATTCAGTTCTTAAATTGAAATTAAATTGAAATTGATAAAGTACTTTTTAATGTAAAAAATAAACACAGTTGTGATAAAGTAAATATTAATATAACAATGTAATCAAATAAGTTTAAAATAAAATTAAAGTTTTTGCAGTTCCATTTTATAGAAATTTATTGAGATCAACGAAGTAATAATTTTAATTGTACTGTTTTATGTACTACTTTGTATAATTTATTATTATTGATCATAATATTATATCTTTTGTTGCAATAGAGTTTATGTGATCTTATTTAAAAAGAGATTAAAATTAAGAGATTTCTTAAGAGATAAGAAAATAACTTTAGTCACATTATGTTATATCATGTTTAAGGCTTTGTTTTTCATATGTTATTAGCAATTGCACGTTCATATTTTTATACTATGAAACTTAAAAGATGTATAGCAATTAATAATAAATAATTAATAAAAGTTCGTTGATTAAATACAGTAGTACGTACCAACTCGCCGATTTTGATGACGAGTTGATTTCTATATGTTCAGCCACTGAGTAGCCGAAATAAGAACCCTGCAGGCCTCTTTTAATAATAGGAATTCGTGGTTCCAAATTAAAAGCGTGCGTGACGCATGCACTGAACGCTATCCACAGCAAGACGTTCATTATCACTATTTTCATTTGTCACCGGCGATATCACGATATCTTTTGAAAAGTCTCCGATTATCCGTGTAATCTTGCTCACACACCTCGCTTCTTTGTCATCACTATCGTCTACTATACGTATCCCTTTTACACACTCTACATTTTTGAAAATACATTACCCACCCACGCATCGGGATCGGTCGTACTTTCACGAGGAGCTTGGTGTGATCATCGCATTATGTTGGTAATATATTTAGTTTTGCATATCAGGTGTTTTTGCGCATGCGTGCGAATAGCAGTTTTCTTCATTATGTACAACCGATAAAATAGTGTTATATCATACCGTAAAAAAATTCGGACGCGACGGAGCGTCCGTATAGTTATAAATAAAGTATTACTAATAAATTTAAAAAAATCTATTAGTAATAATTTGACTTATAACTTAAAAAAATATATTAAAAAATTTTAAGTTTATTTTAAATAGTAATATATACTATATTTATTTAACACGCCTCTCAGTTCAAATAAAGACGGATTTCGAGAGTAAAAATACATGTTAAAATATACGACACGGTAAACCCTATTCTTTTTTTAATAAAAAAATATATTACGTTTGTTTATTAAAAAATAGTCTTTATTTCGGGAACACGCTATCTATTTTGTATCTTTATGTCTTCCTAAGTAACATTAGTAACAGAAATAAAAATTAAAATACAAATTGAATTATGTTCTTAGATAAGTAACTACATATACCCGCATATAAATAAATAACAATAAAAAAATAAAACACACATAATATCATTTGAGCTAGCAGTTGATGATTATAACTGATTGGTTGGATATAACTGATTAGTAATCAATCGTGGTAACAGTTTATTGTCTCACTGACGCGCGTAACGTCGAATTTGACGTCGGAGTAGCAGGAAATGCCAGCCTTCGATAATAAATGTATACAAGTAAATTTGCGGTCAGTAGAATCGATGATCGCCGAACAAACACATCGATCTTGCTCAATCGTCAAATTTTGTTTTCCAATCAGGACGACACATATTTGCTAAAATTATAATTCTCAAAAAACTATCATAAAATTAATTCTTTAATTTATATAAAGTAAAATAAATAATTAAAAAATAAAAACGAATATATTTATAATCATTAAAAAGTGATTGGTGAAGTAGTAAATTGTGATAGAAATTGTGCATTCGGATTAGTGTTGTGTTGGTTTTATAAATCAATTGTTTTTGTAAATCAAATGTGTTTTGTGAAATTGAATTTTTATATGCAAGAAAATGTTCAATTTATTCTGCTCTTTGAATAAAATAGAAGATGTAATGTCCGTGTAGCAAAAAATTAAAATTTGGAAGATTAATTAGCTAAAAAATTAGATGGAAATTGTTACAATGAAAATAACAATTGGTAATTACATCCTCTAAAAATAATTTTCCTTTAAAATCGATTTTTAACAGATATTCGTCAAATCAGAAAATAAAGTTCTACCAATTTTTTGTAATTCGCTTATTTTTTGATTGGTGGCTAAATTCTAAGTAATTAAAGTAAGGTCTTCTCAATGTTGATTCTATTTTTATGAAAGATTAGGACAAATGGTTCCATTATGTGGTATCTAATCATAAAATCGTTACTTTACTGACCTCTTGTCAGTATGATGGATGGTTATATTTTTGATGTTATCTATTTCTCTCAGAAATATATTGATTACACTTCATTAGGATTGTGTAGTCCAATTTTACCTTCGATTAAAGAACAAAATATCTTTCTCGTGTTATTTATTATAGCGATGTGGTGTCTTCAAATTGTTTCGCATCATTCAAATAACAATACAGTGTTTAAAATAATACTTTCTTATTATTAGTAGAGTCTTTCATGTGTAATTTTTTTATTTTTATATATAAATATAATTATTTGCAAAACTGTCTTTAAGTGCAAGTTTAATAATTCTAGAATTTAAGAATTTATCTTAATAATATTGCAATTGCAAGTATGAATCACCACTCACTTCAAAATCGTTGTTCGTTAGTCGTCAGTTTCCGCAACTTTGTTCCAAAATTAATCGTGATATTTGAGAGAAATACACGACCGAGAAAATGTGCGCTAAAACTGCAGAACTTTCCGTATATTCGGACGCGCCTTATTGACGTTGTAAAGTTTGTCCAATGTAGAAAGCATTTACCTAGCATATTGAGGTTGTTATTCAGACAAATAACTATTTGCGGAACAAAATTGTAAATATAAAATTGTTTACAATTAATTATTCGTTAATTATTTATTATTTTTAACCTGTGCGTTAATCGAGTTTTGTTGTAATTTATGTATTTACTTAAGTAAAAGATAATACTATAATTTATTAAAAGATATTTGTAAATAAAGAATAACGCTATTAATACAAGCAGAAATTGACACGAACAGTATGAATAAAAAAGTAAATAAATTTTTTTTTTCAAAAAAGAAGCTAAATAAAAATTTACTTAAATGATGTTGAACTCTGATCGCAAAAGTATTCTTCATGTGTTGTATTGCAAAGTTCGGTTCGATCTCGTACCTCTCGTAGAGGGAGGAAAGCCATGCGCATACGCGCAATTGGTACTCGCGCACGTGCTCTCTCGCTGGCAGATTGATCCCGAATGTGCGACGCTGTTTGTGTCTCTCGCACACATAGTACACTCGTGCCGATCCAGTGTATAAACATGCGTGCTTCTCTGTGTGTCGCGATTCACCTGTTGTAATACCTGCTAGGATCCATTAAGGCGTCGCTTCTTTCTCATTTTCGCAAGGTGCTAACTGCTACATTATCGTAATATATATATATATAGATGATTGATCGTATATTTGGAAGAAATATACGAACGGAACTGACGATGATATCGCGAAGTGCTTTGTAATTTTTATACAGAATTTGTACTTGTTGACAAATTGATTAAAATTCAAACCTTTTTATTATTCCTTGATTGGTTGAAACAAAAGTGACATATTTAAATACTAAAAATTCATTAACAATATAAATTTTATTAGTAATAGAAAGTAAAAAATCTCTAACAAACTTTAAGCTCCAGAACAAAATATTATAAATGACGAAATCCTATTTTAGAATTAATTTCAAACGGATATTGCTTTCAATTTTACAAGTTATGCGAGAACATACAGCTTTATGCTTTATAAGATCTTTCTTTGTGTGATATTCTTTTTATATAAATGAAATTTGTAATATTACAAAATACTTTAGATTTTATAATATAAATATAATTATATGAAAACTTTAAATTTTATAATATTAATAATTTAATAAAATTTATAGCACACACTGAAAATTAGTTTTGAAAAGAAAAATCATCGGCAAGAGTGGAAAGTTAGTTTAAATCTTATCCCACCGATTAAACGCAATATCAATTTGCTGTAGCGGAAAGTATTGTCTCATCGACTCAATCTAATTAACTAAATAACTAACCGGCAGGACAATTATAACCGTATTCCATAATGGAGTCGCACGAGGCAGTGTCCTTAAGGATCTTATTAGCTAACAGCTATGCAAAGACGAAGTAGATTGCAAGCAGAACCGGATTTAAGTGTTAGTGAGCCTTAAGTGCTTTTATTCATTATTTCATGATTTAAGTAAACAATTATTTGTTCGTCATACACAATAACAGATTTACAACAAAACATTTTAAATTATTTTTATTCAATTTTTTTTAAACTCTGTTTTTATTATAAAAAAGTAAAAGAATCAATTAAAATAAAAAATAAAATTGAATAATACTTGAAAAAGCTTTTTATGATCAATGTTTGTATTTTTTTTAAAATAAAATAAGCATTTTGATCGCAAAATCTATAAGGTGCAAATTTACAGTCAGTTTTTTTTAGAAATCTCATTGGTTTCAATTTTTTTCTGTTGATTTCAGACTTTCGATGTTGAATAAGTGCTTAAGAGAAAATCCGATCCTGATTACAGGTGCGAGGAAAGGGGGACGGAAACAGGGGACGAAAAGAGATCGCTTATACAGTAGCCTAAATAGATCGAGCAAAGGAAATGGAACGAAGGAATAGGAAGGCAGAAATGAGCGGAGAGGGAGACGAGACTGAAAAGTCGCGGAAAGCGGTGGGAGATCATATCGAATCTATCTGATTATTCCGTACACGGCACTGTGTCGCGTCACACGTGATTTCGCGTTTCCTAAAATATGCAATGTGCTGCTACTTGCCGGTAATCTTTAACCTGTTTCATCTACTCTTACATCTTTGAAGCTCCGCTGACAGCTTCTGTAAAGAACGTCCGAGGGGTTTGGAAGAAGCAAACATAAACGAGTGATCGACGAAGACGTATCGGGGTGTCAACTATAAGACAGGTAATCTCGAATAAAGTGATTGTATATTGAATAACTCTCGAAAAATAATAATAATAATAATATGATAATTACAGAAAGGCAAAAGAATCTTGCTGCTGCAAAACTCTCGCGGCTGATGTATTTATGTTCGATATAAAATCAAATTTTGCTGCTGTAACTAATTATCACAGAAAAATCTATTCGCTTGATAAAATAAAGTTTTGTCATAAATTGTTTGTAGAAACAAACTTCGATTTATCAATATTAAATTCTCTCTCTCATTGCCGCTTCGAATAAGAATCACTTATTACAGCAAAATAGTTTGCTGACTTAACAAAATTTTCAACAGATTTTTAACGAGTCTATTTGCTGTTTTTATGTGCAAATAGGAATTTGTTTATGACAATAGAAAATATATTGTGCCAGCAAGCTTTTTATTTCCGTGTTGCAAAATGCAAATCTCGTTAGATACATTCTCGACTGGCGCAGAAGTGTCAAAATAACGTTGATATATTTGAAAGCGTTTTAGATTGGGCATAAGACGCGATCGGACGCATGGGTGTTATTTCAGGATATTTTTCTTGTGACTTTACGTTCTTACGAAAGTGCTTCGTATAAATAGAAGAGCGCAGATGCGGCTATAAAGCCTGTCTCACACATCATCAGTGGAATATCCTGGTTTAATTTATGCGATTCTTAATTTGCGTCAAATGTTAGAAAGCAAGATGTCATCGAGAACTAAATATTTCATATTTGTCAAAATAAAATACGAGATATCTTGTAACTTTTATTTACTTGTTGATAAGTTTCCGGCATATCGAATATTAAGAGTAATCAAGGCTTTGTAGATAAAAAAAAATAATAAAAATGATATATAGTGAAAAATCAAAGTTACGTTTTTCAACATGACGTTATCGATTTGTCGAAACAAAGAATACAGTGTAAAATTTTCATTAAAAAACTTTAATAATATTCGCGAAGACTAAGAGCGCGATTGTCGGATCGTTTCATTATCCCGAAAAGTTACGATCGTTAAATCGTTTTTAATCGCTAAAATTACTGAAATCGTTCCCCGCAGAGAGATTTTAATGCTTTGCATCGAGGATGCGTTTTCGGTCCGCAGAATGCTGAGGTCCGAATCTCTATTGATGTTGTTGAAGCGTCTTAAATAAATCAGCGGTGCACGGTCGTCGGTGAGCCGACATACGTGAGCAAAATTACGAACGATCTAATAATACCGCGCTCTCTTACCCATATGGGAAGTTGATTTTAATTCAGGTGGCCGAACGCCACACATGGGCCCCATCCTTTTAGTGAGTGAGGTCAGTGATCATGGTGATCGAAGGATACGCGAGGCGAATCGCGAAATCAAACCGCCAAAAATCAAGAAGACAATGCATATTAACCAGGCCTCATCAAAATGTTTTAACGTCCACATATATGCAGATTTTTGCAGAAGATGTTTTTGAACGCAGTCTGTCACATAAAAGCGTCGTCTGCATAGAAAAATTATTATTTTATCTAAAAAAAGACATTTGAAATGGAAATTTGATCAAAAATATAGGTTCTAAATGTTATGTAGACAACGTGTGTTCTTGTGTTTGTGACAAATTGCGCTCGTTCTCAGTGACGAATTGTGTTTTCAAAGGACGGCAGGATTCGTCTGAAGAAACATGTACGGGTTAATCTTAGAGAACCTGGCCGAATACATACGGCAGGTTTACGGCGAAGACAGATGGGAGGAAATACGCAGGCAGGCGTCCGTAGATCAGCCAAGCTTCAGCGTTCACCAAGTTTATCCGGAAAACCTGATACCGAGATTAGCGAAGAAAGCGATTCAAGTATGTCATTTTCTCAATCGCTTTTTCCATGTTCTAAAAATCCGAGTACTTCGCGAAAATTGAGTATAAAATGTTACACATTTTATCTCGTGTTATCGAAATTGAACTTGCGCGTTAATGTAAAATGAAATATCTTGCAAAATGCATTCTGTCAGAACAGTTTTCTCAACATTCAAACCTTCGATGCCGTGCTTAATATGATAATCGTTTATAAAATATAGGATAAAGTTTGTGATACAAATTCCAACGTTGATTTCAAGAATCCAAATTTCTCGTTTAAAAAATTGCCGCAAAATATTATAAATACCTGATTTATCCTGTTCAGTTTTTCGCAAAGAAATCCGGAGCGCCCGTTGAAAAATTCGGATGTATCCATTTTAGGTGCTCGGCGTGACGGAAAAAGAGTTCTTCGACCAAATGGGCGTGCACTTTGTAGGATTCGTCGGCCAGTACGGTTACGATCGCGTACTCTCGGTACTCGGACGGCACGTGAGGGACTTCCTCAACGGCCTGGACAATCTTCACGAGTACTTGAAGTTTTCTTATCCGAGAATGCGCGCGCCTTCGTTCATCTGCGAAAACGAGACTCGCCAAGGTGAGTACACAATCGTCAAAAATCTAGCTCGCGTCGGATAAAACACTTTTTTTGTACATTGAAATCTTCACAATTTATCTTACAAACAGAATGTAAAATCAAACAAGCCGGCTGGCGCGGTAATGTTTTAGGAATCTAAATTTTGCGCAGGTTTGACTCTTCATTATCGAAGCAAACGCCGGGGCTTCGTCTACTATACGATGGGCCAGATAAGAGAAGTGGCCCGGCATTTCTATCACAAGGAACTGCAGATCGAGCTGGTGCGTGAAGAAGTGCTGTTCGACACCGTGCATGTAACCTTCCAGCTCACCTTCGATAATCGCGCCTTCACGCTCGCCTCGCTCGCGATGACTCGCGAGGAGAAGCATCTGCCGATCGGCGCGTGTGTACTCTTCGAGATATTTCCCTTCTGCATCGTTTTCGGGTACGTGATGCACGGCAGTTCAATGCTGCCAGAAAGTTAAAGTACAAAATATCGATCATAGTTGAGTAATTATCGCGGGAATTTAAGTGCAAGCTGCAAGAAATTTGAATCGAAAATTTTGTTGATACGCGAAAAGCTTTTAAGCTCCAAACATTTGCATAAATAAATATTTAAATTTCAGCTCGGATATGGTGGTTAGAAGTATCGGAAATTCATTAATGGTCATATTGCCGGATTTAGTTGGCAAGAAGATCACGTACTTCTTCGATCTGGTTCGACCACTTATCGCGTTCAAATTTCAATCGGTAAGTTTAAAAAAAAAACATAATAGATAAAGAAATTTATAAAATCCAATAAGCAATAATAATTTTACCTTTTGAAATGTTCAAGGTTAATTTAAATTTAATTAATGGATAAATTAATGGAATTAATAAAGTAATTTCAATATCAAAAATCAAAAAAATTAAACTAATTATAAAAAATTGAATTCTGAAAGGAATACGGGAATTTGATAATGGGTCAAATCCACATTCAAAAGGAGATGATTTTTCTCAATCTATGAGTCTTTTTTTTGAAATTAAAAAATTAATTAATAATATTATTAGAGAAATTGTAGAGGAGATAAAAAATATTGTAATTAATGTTAAAATTATTTATATTAATTTAATAGATTAAATTTATTAATTGGAAGTTAATTGTAATATTTATTTATACTATATAAATATAGTTAATTCCTTCTCGTACAAACTACGAATTCACTTCTGTAATCTCGTATTTCAATGCAATTAAGTAGAATTTATGCGATTTAGATATTGAACCGAACAAATAATATTTTCGAGTTGGTCACTGTCGAGCCAGTGCTTACGGAACGACTGAATGATCGGCACAGGAACGAAATTCTCTTGAGCGATGAGCTTGAAACCATAGAAGATAAGACTTTACGGTTGAAAGGTATATTTTTCTTATTCGTTTAACTTTAATAGTTCGAAAGTTCGTTAATTCAAATCAAAAAGTTAATCGTTTCGCGAAATATTAATGATTTACATTTTTTTTTAGGTCAAATGATATACATGGACAATTGGAAAATGATGATGTATCTCGGTACACCGGTTATGCCCGATCTGAATGCTTTAATAGCAACAGGCCTTTATATAAACGATCTCTCAATGCACGATTTTAGCCGGTAAAAAATTTTTCAACTAAAACGCGCAGGAAAAGAATGATTCTGCCATCAGACTTTTAACTCTGTTATCTTAATGAGTGTTGCGTGATACTTGAAAACTAAATCTGTAATGAGAAATTGTAATGCTTTCCATCTTTGCGATCGGCTTAAGTTCAACAATCGATATAATTGATTCAATGATTTTATAGAGATCTGATGCTCGCTGGAACTCAACAGTCCGTGGAGTTGAAATTGGCATTAGATCAAGAACAGCTGAAGAGTAAAAAGTTAGAGGAGTCCATGAGAAAACTGGACGAAGAGATGAAGCGTACAGACGAATTATTATATCAGATGATTCCTAAACAAGTCGCAGACCGCTTGAGAAACGGTGAAAGTCCGATTGACACTTGCGAGGTACAACATGACAATAAATTAAAGTCTTGATTTTTTTGTTGGATCATCAAAAAAATGTTAAAAGCATTTCTGTTCTCAGCAAAATAAAAAATAACTTTTTTAAATGCGATATCAAAATCAATATTTGATCATACTTTGTTTGATTTATTAATTTTTATAAATCTATAGATTTAAATGTAAAATAATTTTATACAAATTGTTGGAAAAATATTAATAAGTGGTACGCTTGTAAAAATAAATTGTTTTACAACATCCTGATTTTATCTGTCTAACATTTACAGATGTTCGACAGCGTATCGATCCTGTTTTCGGATGTGGTGACTTTCACCGAAATCTGTAGTAGAATCTCGCCGATGGAAGTCGTATCTATGTTAAACGCTATGTATTCCTTGTTTGATACTTTGACTGAGAGGAATCGAGTGTACAAGGTATCAAGAAAAAAGTATCTCGGGAAATTTAATTTAATTTTGTGAAGTGAAAACAATTTTCGAATCTTGTCGCATTGCAAATCAAGAAACAAAACTTCTATCAATGTGCTATTTAATAAATTCTAAAATTTAATTTAATGAACTTTTCATCAAATTCGATAAATTGCTAAAGTAACTTTAATAAATAACGACTATTTCTTTCATTTAAGGTCGAAACTATCGGCGACGCTTACATGGTAGTTTCTGGTGCACCAGTGAAGGAAAACGATCATGCTGATCGCGTGTGCGACATGGCTCTCGATATGGTCGAAGCTATAACTGATCTCAAAGATCGCTCGACGGGTATAAAAAGAATTTTTCAGCCATTATTTTGTATAATACTTATCGCGAGTTACTCTGCACTTCGCTATGTGGAGTTTACACTAATTAACAAATACTTTCATTTCCACAGGCAATCATCTGCAGATACGCGTCGGTGTTCACAGCGGCGCGGTCGTGGCTGGTATCGTTGGCTTGAAGATGCCACGATACTGTCTGTTTGGCGATTCCGTCAATACAGCAGCTCGCATGGAAGCGACAAGCCAGGCCATGCAGATACACATATCTCAATCTACCCAAGAGCTGCTGTCGCCCTCGTACAAGGTCAAAGAGCGAGGAGAAATCGAAGTTAAAGGAAAGGGTAAGATCGGAAATCCAGAAGACTGACTCATAGAATCTCAGATTGCCAAGTTTTGTTGGCAATTTGATTAAATTTACTGTCACTTTACCAACAATGCTAACATCCCATTTACTGAAGTGCTTCTAAAATATTCCCAAAATGCTTTCAAAATACGTAATATTCTTTCAAATTTTCCCGGAATATTCGTACAACGAAAAATCGGATAATTCTGCTGTGTATTGATATCGCACCAGGCACGATGAAGACTTACTGGCTGGAAAAGCGGGAACGACGTTCCGTCACGACCAAAGGGATCACTATACAGGAGCCTCCTCAATGGCACACGAGAAACTTCGAGAAAAGAATTTCCTCGGTGGGCGGGGTAGGTTTAATCAATACAGGCATGTTCGACAAACTGATGTCGGGGGATCCGCCGTCGAGACGAGGCTCGTCGAAGATGTCATCTCCGACGCCACCGGGATCGTCGGGCTTTTTCTCCGAGGAGAGAAGAATATATTCCCCCATCACCTTCCAGGACGTTGCGCGACGATCGGTCGCGAATTCGCCGACGAAAAACGTGGGAGTGCGAGGTAGATTTCTTTTCGCAACAGCTTCTCGTATTTTGCGCAGATTAAATATTGATATAATTCAATAAATCGCAGAGTGCCGATCGAATTCTATGAGTGCGGTGGGCATTAGAAACGCGGATATGTTCAATTCTCTTTTGAGCGACACAGAGGAGCACTTCCGGCAGCATCGGGATAGCTTGTCGCCGCGAGCGGAAAATCAGTCGGCTGGCGTGCACGTGAAGCCGGAAGTGAAAATCAACGCCACCTCGTCCTCGTCCTCGCAGAGCTCCGAGGACGAGTCGAGCCCCTCGCTGGATTTGTCGCAGACGCGAAAAGACAACGCAGAAGTGACAACGGGCAATAATAACGAGAGCGCGGCGATTAGTAGCGATCTCAGCAATTCGCAGTTGCTTATGCAACAGGATCAGTGCTGTCCGGGATTCACAATGCCAAAGAGCAGCAAGATACGCCATCAAGGAAACAACTGCGTTATTTTCTAATAGCAGAACTTTTGTGGGTTCATCGATAAAATACTCGAAATATCACTGGCTGAGAATCAAGTTGTCCTATGTCGCAAATTTGCCGTTTTTTTAGATTTTTATGCTAGATCACGCTATGTTCCCTGATTCGTTAATATTCGTCTTATTTCTATAATTTAAAAAGTAAACATTTGCGTTCAAGAAAAATTAATCATTTAAACGCTCTATTATAAAAAAATATAGTAGATGCCGAACGTATAAAATGCAAACAACGTTATTTAAGCAACGCAACATTATAATTAAAAAATACAAAAATATTCCTTGAAATATGTTTATTCCTTACGGAATATATTTTCTTCGATAAATTTTGAAGTAAGTTTCGAAATAAAATTACGTGGTTTTTATCCAAAAAAGTCGTCTTTTCCAAAAAGAAGTACAAAAGAGCACTATGTTTATTCGTTTATTGAAAAAACTGTTTTACTTATATAAATATATTCGAATATGTATTTTATTATATTGCTTCAAAAGTCATAAATATTAAAAATTCTTAAAATCAGTGTTTAACTCGTTTAACACTAATTTGTAATTAGCGCGAAACACGACGATATCTCTTGATTCTTAGTGATAGTACAACTATATAAATAATAAGTATATTGACGAATATTTAATAAATTGTATACCGACAACCAAAATTGATACAACTTAATGTATTAAGACATTTCTGATCGCTGGTGTACATATTAATAAATAAAAACTAAGAAGTATTAAAGCGTTTATTTCATTTCAAGAATATCGTACGGAGTAATATATTTTATCAACGGAAATGCGGTTTCCGTTGGAATAAGAACCGACAAAATAAAAATTAAAGTAACTGAATCAAACTTGAAGTGATAATAATAAAATAAATTTAATTATCTTTTTATTTATAAGTATATATTTAAAATATTGAAATATTTCAAGATATTTTTATATTCTTTATAATATTTGCATATTCTTTTATAATGTTCCGAAAATATTTCATTGCAATGACAAACAAAAACAAGAACTTAATTTTACTTCGAAATTTACTTTAAAATTTATCGAAGAATATTTTATAAGGAATAAATAAATGTTTATAATCTACATATAGATTAATCTAGATCGTCGGAAAGTCCTTGAAAACATCGAGGGTATTAATGAAAAGAATTGTAAAGCATTTAAGAAGACTTAAATAGACTTTGTTAATAGAATGTCAATATTTTGTCAATGTCATAATGTAATGTAATATATTCCAAACTTTCATTTTCCTATTTTAAAACAAGAAAACTAAGATTATAAAAGACAATTATATCAAGGAGCTTTCTACGAAGCTACAATTTACGATTACAATACTTTTCATTGCTACTATCGACAATTCATTGGATTTTCTTGAAATCATATCGCGCTACATAAATATTCAAAATAAATTTATAGGTTAACATCTATGACACTTACCAAAATATGTTGATATTAAATAATTTCAAATTCTCGTAAAAGCCTGTGGTACAGATTTCAAGCACAATGTAATTCCTGCAATTCTGCTGCAACACTCTGCCGTTTATTTGTGCGACTGTGTAATTAAACGCGATTATTCAAACACAACTTTATCGTTTCGCGGTGAACACAAGATTGCCACTACTATAAAAGGAAGAATGACAATTGTCACGCCAGTAAACTAATAATAGAACTACATTCAATTTTTTATCGACAATTGATAAGATAGATTTGTTATCTACTACCAATATATGTACTTTGGCACAACTTCTAGGGTAATTTTCCTCGACGCAGTTTCATGAGGATGAGTTTTAAGGTCTGACGTCATTTTGTGATCTCGACAACGGTGGCGGTCGCGGCGCTCGTCTTGTAAATTCTACAGAACATCTAATCATAGTTTGCCATTAATGTTGTGACGTGTTAAATATTTTTTTATCAAAATATTCGATAAGGTGTGTTCTACGTACAACAAAAAAAAAACGGAGAATATTGCAGGTAAATAATTGTGCGACACATTTGTCTGTAAAATTATACAAATTTGCTTCCGTCAGCGTAAATTCGGGAGATTAGGTTAGGTTCGTATAGCACTTGCTGTGCCATGTTGCTTATAACCGATATCACCGTTTTTCTGTGCGACATGTATCTATAAAATTGTTATAAACTCTTTGCCGACAACAAGACAATTGGAATTGCAGTTTTTAGTACGCGATAAAGTTGTGTAGTTTACGTATAAATTTATGTGATGAATTCAGCATTGGATGCACTTGAACTGCAACCTTGAACATGCAGCAAAAGAATATCACGATAATTAAATTCTTTGGCATTTGACATTCGTTTTAAGATTCTTGGTTGAATTAGTTACTATTAATTAACAATTATAAGCTACAACGAATTTGTTTTTTATTGCTGGTAATAATAGATTTATAACACTGTTTTTATAATAAATATTCAATTATTAGAACTGCTAATACATAGATTTAAATTTATTAATGCTAATGCGTTTAAATGATATTAATGCTTGTGGAAATCGATATAATTATAAAGATATTTGCGTAGTTAATGATTTTTAGATTTTGTGAAAGTATGATCATATTTTTGTAAGTTAGAAATTCTATTAAACCTTCTTTAGACAATGGAAAAGAAAGTCTATTGATATAAGAGATTGATTTATGACTGATTGACTTATATTTATATAAATATTAATTTTTGTGTATATATGAATCAATTTATATGAATTATTTGTATAATATTTACTAGCATAAAAGTTTGCATGGGTTATACTAGATAGATATTCAGATACCATTTATATATAATTGATAATTTTTTATAAACAAAGTGTCACAAATCTAACTATGATTTGTATAATTTTCAAGGATAAGTCAAAAAGTAAAAGGACTTTTTTGATTTCCAAATCAATTAAAAATCTTCCAAATGTTGAATCATTTTTAATTGATTTGGGACTCAATAGTCTTTTTATGTTTTACTTTTTCTTGTAAAATGTAATGAAATTCTGCTTGCAGTAAGAAAAAATGATGCAGGATGAAGACTTGGTTGGTCCAGCAAGACGAAATGTTGTTAGTCAAGGAATAATAAGAATATCTCAGGTTAATAAACAATTTATTTAATGCTTAATATTTTAATATTCTTATCTTAGAGTATGCTTATATAATATATGAGACAAACATTTTGTTTTACCTTAAGATATATTAGCACATCATGATTGCCAAACAAAATCAAATATCGATAAATATTAATTGAATTGTTTTTTTATAATCTATTATTATCGATATAATTTATAATTTAATTAATAAATTACATTTTAATTTCCTGTATGTGTATGTCTGTTATACTATTGATAAAACATTTTTTACATTGCAGATATATCAAAGATATCTAGATTTATGGACTCCGCATGTAATTTCGAGATGGTTATTTGCTCTATTCCTATTAGCTCTTTTTATTCTACGTGTATTTATCTCGCAAGTATGATATCCTTCATAAAATTATGAACTCGATTCTTTATTCTTAATTTTATTCTGACACTATATAAACACTTCTTTGTTTGTACACAGGGATGGTATATCGTTACGTATGCATTAGGAATTTATCATCTCAATTTATTCATAGCATTCCTTACTCCAAAAATTGATCCTGCAATGGATTTTGATGGTGAGTAGTCAACTAGATTTAAAAGAAAATTTTTTTAATTACATATAAAGAGTTTAATTGAAATTAAAAGCGATTCAATTAAACCAACTGTATTTGTTGAGATGTTAAAATATAATTTATCAAAATTTTAATTTGATAATTTAATTTAACTCTTAAAAATTTATCAAATTAAATATTATATTAAAAATTGTAGATGGAGAAGGTCCAGAGTTACCTACAAGATCGAACGAGGAGTTCAGGCCATTTATCAGAAGATTGCCTGAATTTAAATTTTGGTATTCAGTAACAAGGTCTACGGTCGTCGCCATGATATGCACTTTATTCGATTGCTTTAATATACCAGTATTTTGGCCGATACTTGTTATGTATTTCATAACATTGTTTTGTATTACAATGAAGCGACAAATTAAGGTAAGCAACTGGCGATATTATTTTTTCTCAAAGATTGTTCTGCAAAATTTTAATCTTTAACTTTATTTCTAAATAATTTTAATATTATTATCGCTAAAAATTTAAGTTGTTACATGTGACAATTTTGATACATTGTATGAAGAGTCACAAAATGAGAAAAAAAAGTTTTTGTTCCGAGTTAGAAGTGATTGTAGATTGTCTTTTAGTAAATTTACTTTTATTAACACATATTTTGATACACATTGGTACACAATATTCTTGAATTTAATTATTACTTATTATTATTAATACATTCTTTTGTTTGCAGCATATGATTAAGTATAGATACCTGCCTTTTACTCATGGCAAACCAAAATATCAAAACCACGAAGATAATTCGCGGTTGATATCGCCAAAATGAATAGAAGCAAAGAATATACTGTGCTTGTACAGGCACGTAAGCATATAGATTTCAATTTCTCCCAATACAACGGGACGAACATTGATAAGGAGCGAAAGAAAAACCAAACAAAAAATTCTTTTTAAAGCTATTAAAAGGGAAGGACATTGCCTTGTACGAGAAACGATTGACTCTGCACAAGGACGTGTAACTCTAAATTATACAATATACGATATTTAAACTGAATTATCTTAGTATATTTGTATCATAAAACTTGTACAAAATATTGTTAATTCTCTCATTAAAAGGAAGGATAAAGAAAGACAACATGGTCACAGTATCAATATCGAGCAGTCACAATTGTCAATGTCGAGGAATGTAAGAAGTTCATACGTAATTAAGAATTTGTTAATATTAAATTTGTTACAATCAGATTTATTTCTAACTTTAGGAAGTTTTCTAGTTTTCTGTCGTGTACATTCCATGTGATTTCTTTATATCTTTAATATATAAGCAATCATCTTTTTGAGTTTCACTTAGATAACTAATCTATCCTCGCTTAGTGGAAGAACATTAAAACAAAGAATTCTGCCATTCTTAGATATCTGTGAGTTGTTTAATGAAGGATTGTTGAAACTGGAAAATGCAAAATGTAAGTCCAATCTTTTACTTATGTAAATTTCAATTTTTTAAAATTATGCACATGAGATATTAATAATATAAGAAAAGAATTGCTTTTGTGGCTTTGGTACTATCAAAAGAATTATCTTGGCATTAATATTAATACAGAAACAATTATACATACTTTTAGATATTAAGTTAATAGAACCGGCAATTTAAAAGTAATTATAACTATTTATATTATTTACAAAAGAAGAAAAGAATTATCTTTATATGATTAAAAAGTTTAATCGATATCTCGATATAAAAACTAGATCAGATTTGTATTTTTGCTATTGCAATGGATTGATCTAGAAGTAAGTATGACTAAATCATATATCATGTGTATATCATATATACATATGTATGATACATGTGTATATGTATATATATATATACATACATACATTTTACATTATATATTTAATTATTTTATATATATGTATATGTATGTATATATTAAAAAGTATATATTGTTACTAACATTAAAATAATTATTACTATAACATTAATATAAATTTTTTTTGATGGCCTAACCAAAGCTACTAAGCTAATTTTATGTTATGTATACACGAGTGAGCAGAAACTTATGATACAATTAGAAAAGAATTATAGTGTTCCTTGTGTAAAAATAAATTAAAAGCGTAAAATAATTTTTTTTTTATACAATTTTCGTATCTCTTCTATTCGAAATTTGATTTGGAAAATTGGGAGATAACGTATCCTATCCTTTTTTTATCCTTTTTTTTCTAAATTACTTCCAACGATTATATCATATGTGTTTTGATTACAATTAAAATATGTATGAATAGATAGAATATGCCCAAAAAGAAAAAGCTAAAAATATAGTTATTTCACGCAATTTCTTTAGTAACTTCAATTATTTTACATTGCTTTATCAAGTGAAATGCTATATTTTTTTATTAATATGTTAACAGTCAATATCGAAAAACGTAAATATTGCTTTTTTTAAATTTTAATTATCCAGAGTTGATTCGTAGATTATATACTTTTGTTATTAATATTAATTAACTTGGATTGATATTGCACTTTGTTATCACTTATTGGACTGGTGTTTTGCATTTAGCGATTTAAGAATTGCTTATTTATTATAATTGATGATATAATATGAAAAGAATATGTATGTCTTTGCGGTATGTTTGTACATCGCAACAGAATAAATATGGAAAGGTTTCTTTAGCAATTCGTTATCAAACAATAATGATATATTGCATGGAAGGTCCTATTTATCAAGAAAATTATTTCACCTAGAATACTAATTGTGGTTTTCAAATATGACATTTATATACATACATACACACAACTAAACTTATATGCATATCTTCAAAAAAAAAAAAAAAAAAAACATTGATATCTAAAAAAAAAAATATTTTGTAATTAATTTTGTGTTATGTTTATTTTATAATAATTTTAATGTTGTTAAAATCTTATAAAAATGTTTTTAAAATTTATATTTTATATGTTAACATAGAAATATTAAATCATTGGGAAATAAATTCAAAATTATAGCCACATGTTTCTGTGTGATTTAACACTCTTTAAAATGTATTTATACTTTATTCGTTCTCTCTTAGTATTCTAGGATCAAAAATAGGGGATCGAATAACTGTTTTATACGCAAGTGCGATGAATTTATGCTACAAAATTTATGTATTTCATACCGTGTGAGAGAAACAATGATTTCGGGAAACTAAGGTTTATATAAAGAGAATTTTAGTACAAGAATTTTTGTAAACAAACACATGAAGCAGTGGGATTTATTTTTCTGTACATAGCAGAATACCTATTCAGGTGACAATTGCATACATTAGAACTGTTTATACGTATAAGATGTGAAACCAAGAATTTAGGACATTCTTTAGCACTTTTAAAATCGAATTTTATATATATTAACATGAAATATCAAATTGTCCAAAAATCTGTAGTGAAGCGTATACGAATAATATACCCTTCAATTTCGCATGTTAATTTATATACTATAGTATATATATATGTATATGTATGTACAAAATGTATTGGCAAATGTTTTGTGGAGCTTAACAAAAATTTGTATGTTAGCTTATTCTATACTTTTATCGTGTGAAAAATATTGATTTATTTAAAATATGTGCAGGAGAAAATAAAATTCGTAATGTAATGATACAAGATGCAGTTTCAGAGATGCACATTTTGATACGAACCATGTGTGTTCCATCTTTTTCTTTTCAAAAAATGTTATACTTAATTACATATAGATATAAAAAAATTTAAACATTTAGAAAATATATAATATTCATTGAAACATTTTATTTACTTTAATAAATATTACAACTTTTCCAATTTTTCTTATTTTCCACCATGTTTTCAACCATTACAGCAAGCTTTAAAAGCTGAACATTACAATTATGTAAAAATGTGTATATTTATTTGCGACGTTTACCACATCTCACACTGCAATAATTAAAATTTCTAAATTTAAGAAGCATATAACAAAATGTTCACAATTATCCGTGTAGTTTTATATATAAATATTACTTTTTGAAGAACAATATATATATATATATATATATATATATAACTACATATATACAATACATACACATACATACATACAAAATACATATAACTGTGCGCTTCGCACTTGAAAAACACATAGATATCTTGTTACAATTCGTGTAATAAACATTTATTTTCGTTTTCGTTGTAGGCTCTACGGGTTTTCATATAATTTATACATATATATTTCTTTGAAAGTGTAATGCATATTCGGAATTATCGATAACAGTATGTACCAATTTATTGCATTTAAGCTGTCTCCCAATTGTTCGAATAATTGCTATCTTATACTCATAACAGCAATTTATGTATTATCTTGTCTATTATACTGTTTTTAATATTTTATTATAGCACGTAATGTTCTTTTCTTTGACAGTCTTAGTCTCTTGCTAATGAGAAATTTATTTACAATTTTAAATGAAAAGGAGAGAAGGAGAGAGAGAATTAATTGGTTCTTTTGCTCATGTAGGCGTGATTACCTAACATAAATCTACATACAAAAATCTTACAATTTGATAGAGAAATCTTTAATAAAATAACTCATAAAATAACATAACAAAAATAATTATAATAATAGTAAGTAATATTTATGTTTTGCAATTTAAAATTCAATTTTTTTACAAAAGAAATTTCCGTCTATTTTTTTAACTCCCCTATTTTTTCGGAGTTATATAATTGAGATTCTAAGATTATATATAATTCTTTTTACCTTTTGTTTTCTTATTAATCCACGAACCAAAGATATACGAGTCTTCAACAATATTGATTTTTCCACATTGACTATTTCTAGACTACAATGAGGAAACAGGAACTTTAATAATGGTATTAAAATATCGAAGATATGTTGAAGATATCATTTTTAAATAAATTAATGTCATTGTTCGTGGATTATTATTTCCTTATGTTTATTTTCCTTATTTTCATCTGAAGATGCTTACGCGAACATTTCGAAGAAAATGCGGCGAATTACAGCAATTTTCATATAGCTGCATCTGTGAAAAACATAGCTTTTATCACAGATGATGCGATACAACGAGATTCGTCCCATATTGAAATTCCTCTTGCAAGCTCTGTCTTACTCGTTGAGATCCTCCGAAATAATCTTCTTGGATTTGTCAAAGAACGTCGTGGTGGAATTCACGCCTATCACTGTCGTAGTGGTAGTTTCACTTACAGTGGATTCCCGTTTTTGGTACGGATTTGACGGTTGACAGTACAACCTAAATAAAAAAAAATAAAAATAAAAAATTAGTCCATTCATCCAATCCAATCATCCAATATTCGTTCATGCGAAATATAAAAGCGCAAAATAAAGACTACAACTGTTACACGTTTATTCTGTAAAGTTATGAATTAATTAAAATTAAATTGCAATTTTTGTGTGATTAATGTTACCTGTGCATTGTATTTTAAAAAATCAGTTTGCAAATTTCGAGATTATAGCAAATGAGATGCGGAAAAGTACCTTATACTCTCCGTTCTTGAACGGGGCGACCAATTGTTATAATATCTTCCTCGGCGATTGCCGAGGTTTCGCGCGGTGCTCCATCGTGCGAAATGATGCCTCACGGCATTCTGCACTTCGGTATTGAGGAAGCAGTAAAACAACGCCACGAGGAAGCCCTGGAGAAAAAAAGAAGAAGGAATTAATATAAAATCGAGACAAAGTTTCTATCTTGAGCGAAATGGAATCGCGAATTGCATTTTCCGAGAACGTCCGATTGCGGTTGGTATATTTATTGCTTCAGTTCATTGTTTACGTTTTTTTTACATGCTACGATTACCTGCAAAGAAAGCAATACTGCGCGTACATAGCTGAACGCATTCGCGACTTGACCTTTCGTAGGCCCCGCTATGACCAGCACGTACGTCACTCCTAGAAGTGGTATTAACACCAAGAGAGCTTTACTGGCTTTCCGATATTGCTGCGTCTCCACGTTGTTGGCCGACCACAACTTTGTTATCAGCACCTATAAACATACGCAGTGTGGTATGTAAATTTAGAAAGGCAATAACGTCGGCGATTATACTTAAATAAACTTCTACATTCTATTTATTGAAATAAAATTTGTCACTCGCACGGAATTGTCTTACTGCCTGAAATTGTCTACAAATTGTTCGTCTCTTAAAACACGCATCATATGCCGCAATAAGTTACGATTGAAAATTTCAACGATCATGGAAGCGGCAATTTATTGCCGGATGCGGATAAATTCATCGGATAGCTACTTTATCGTGTTCCTTCGCGTGAAATCACTGATCGCGTTAAATAAGAGCATTATTTATCGCGTATATTTTATTTTATCCGCGCACAGTCGTAAATATATTAAGAAAACTTTTAATTAAAATCAAGCACTTATTTGAAATTAAATCGTTTCGACGTTCATATTTCTTAATCGTCCAATCGAAACGGCGCAATTTTATTTTTCTCAGCACAACTCATCTTTTGACTTTATTTGCAACTTAACTGCAAGCCGTTCACTGTAATGATAAAAAAATACGCCGACGTTATAAGACTATTAATGAATTGAATGGAAAATTTGAAAGAAGGAACAGATATTAATGCGGTGGAATGAGTTTTTCTTCTTTGAACAATAACATCTGAAAAATGAATAGCATTTCCAGGTATAATTTCAATAATGCAATGCACTCACCCACATAATCATGAAAAGGAAGGCCATGTTAACTACAAGAACTATTATAGCTGGTGCTTGATAAAACCAATCATATGGGTGTGGTGTCATCCAAGGACAATGCTTCCAGAGTGCCTCTTCCTAATAAGATTTCTATTATTAACGCTGTTACCGTATCGTAATGTCAGTGGATGGAATCAAAGGAATGATCATGCTTGTACACCAAGCGTCATAATTGTTTTAATATTTGATAGACAGAGTATCGATCAAATGTCTCACATCTGGATATTCATATATAAAATATTGACAGGTAACTGATTATCCTTCGCATATAGATCTGTTGTTTCTAATTTTATACATTAAATATTTCTAAATCTTACAATAAATGTGAAAATATGAACTTTATTTTCTTCTCAAATTGTAAGTAAACTGCTCACAAAGTGTCTGATCTTTAATTTATTTCTGAAAAATTACCTTTATTTTTACAATAATTTAGGATTTAAAAGCTGTGGAACATTCGACACTCTTGTGACTTGTTTGTATTAATTGTTATTATTTGTATTAATTATTAATTATCCTTTCTGTACGTGTGTCACGTTTTAATCTATAAATTCGGGCGCTGGCGATTGTTTGATGTTCCATATTATCGTACGAAAGGATTAACTTTATCTTTGCAATTAATCGATCAATTTTCGTGAAAATCATGACAAAGATTATTAATTAGTTTATTATTAAGAGACAATGCAAGTTAACTAGAAGCATTAGATCAGCTTCCATATTCCGTGGGAAAATATTGACATTTATATCGACCCTTGGCGCTATTATCCTATCAAGTGATGTCAAACTAAAACATAATTAATCGACGAGACGGTTACGTGACTTTGTGAAGAACGAATTTTACTTTTAGTTGACTAACTGACCGTTATAATTATAAACAAATAAAACCCGTATTACCACATGCCATTTAAAACCTACACATCGCGTGACGTTGCGTCTATTTAAAGCACACGCTCGCCGAATTTTTAAAACGCTATAATTCAGTGAAAAAATTGACATAGCGGCATTCCGCGAAATCAAATCTTCCGCGTTTCGCGTTCCGCATATGCATATGCTAAATGGTCGTAAATAGTTTCATCATGACACGTTGTACGTCGCAATAATAATCTGTATAGTATTTGTGTGAAATATAAAACGGTGAATTGTAAGATATAAAAAAAAGCCTTATCGTACAATTATATATATATATATATAAAATATATTTCGCACTGTTATATTGCCGTATTGAAAGAATTGATGTTACTTATTTCTACATTTGAATATATTAATTTGAAATAGCGACTGTTCTAATGAGTTTTTAACGGACAAAATCACGATGGATAAAATTTGTACACTTTCAACAGGACACGTGGATCAATAAAGATCCTTCTTGTGCGAGCGAAAGTCAAAGAGCAAATAACATCACGTCAAATATCCACATATACATGCTTAATGATGTATGTTCATGTGAAATTCTTCCATCTATATTTTCCACGTGGACACACGCCATTCCTTCCTCTCGCTTCCTATCTCATTTCATCTCTGTCACATACTTGGCGTGGCGTTAATAGCTTGAGCGTGGCTAACATTTTGATCGGTACTTTCGGCGCCTTCCGTTATCAGCCCTAGATGTCGGGAAATGAAAGATTCTCGCGAGACGGAAATTCGCTGTCGGATTCGCATCCGTGAACGCTCTCGTTTATATTCATACCTGGTTGGCCTGATTCATAACGCTCTGACCCAGCAACTTGGCGATTGCCCACACGGCTATCACGAGCACCGGAACACCTGAATTTATTTATCTATTTAATCACAATCAATCTTAATCAATTAATTAGCTTATTTGGTTATTGATGCATTAGTTGCCAATTTTGTTTGCGAGTACAACACGATATTTTCCCTATCATCATAGCTATATTTTAATTGAAGCTGTTGAATAAATTATACTGATCGTCCAATGACTGTAAATTATCAATTATAGAAAAGAATAATTACATTCTAACAAAATTAATATTAAATAATGTTTCTATTTATATTGTTCTGCTCCTTTGAAGGCACGCCCTTCGATTGTTATTCGGTTTTAGTATTGTAATAAGGTTCGTGCTTCTGCAATCGCATTGTACTATTGTGTTTGCTCGATAATCCCAGAGCAAATATTTTTCAATATTAATTATTAATTTAAACACATTGCTTCTAACTCGGTTTCCAGCAAATAATAATTAACATAATATATAAATTTAAAATGCTTCATGAATATTTCATGAATTAATGAATAATTATAAGAATTATAAATATAATTCATAAATATTTTTGAAATAAAAATAAAGCTAAACGCAAGAGAAAACATCGTTTTAATACGTCAAAGTGCTATTTTCGCATACTCAAACAGAGATAGTGACTTTGGTTAATAGGGCGTCTGCAATCAATTCCTGTTTGCTTGTTTGTCGAAGTCACTATTAGTAGAGGATTCTAACAATTAATTAACCTACTTTAAGGCTTAATACGTTCTATGTAAATTAGCGATAAAGTGTTTAAAGAGGTATAATAATTCAATCTTTAATATGCAAATTTTGCTGTTTTTTTCGCAATATGTAGTACTGTTATAGAATTAATTAACATTTGTACTAAATAACACTCGAAATTAATTCTAAAATCTACCTTAAATTATTTTTCGTTAATGACGAAATGCTAAGAATTTCATTTTTATGGAATAAAGTTTTTTATACTGATTGTCTAGTAAAATATTGTCGCATGAATAATGCAAATCGGAAGTAATTATCAATTTTTAAAAGGTTAGCTACTCACCCCAGCCTATCGCCATATAAAGCCTCAGCTTGATATTGTCGCCGGCGAAGGTTTTCACGACCAACAGATACAAATACAGACCTGTGAACATTAAGCATTCAAGCTTAAAAAACGTACAATATTGCTTTTTGCATGAATAGCGAGTATAGTAATATTTAGAATGTAAATCTCGCGTTTTTTTAAATAAAAATTTTTTCAGGCATATAAGCGACGCTCTCGTGACGGTATTTTTTCTTTTACGCTCGCACTCAAAGCAAGATATTACGCTACTACAACGGATAAGTATAATACGCGTGACGTGTACAAAATGCTCACCTTCGACGAACATCCAGAAAAAGTTCGTTAAATGAAAATAGTGAACAAGCGAGAAAAGTGTCACGCAGGTTGGGATGTTTGGTTGCATGGACACCTGGAAATGATAGGAACAATTCATATTAACATGAAAGTAATACTCGGTCGCATAAATCGCTTTTAATATTACGTTGTTAAATTAACTGTAACAATTTGCGCAAGTAAAATTACGTGGGCTGTCAACGTTGCTAAAGTAAACATGACGAGACTTGACAAAACAACGCTAGCGTTATGAAACTCTGACTATGTTTATAACGAAGCGTCCAGTATGTGTTTTGCATATGAGTTCCATTGTTGTGTTATTAACAGTTTCTAAAATACCGTAGTCATCTAAAATACCGTAACACGCCTGTTCCGGCAGAATTGATCTATCTCCTTTTTCTCACTCTCGCTCTCGCCGTTGCTTTTGCTCTTTATAGCAAACTAATTTTAACGGTCAAAGGGTAGTAGAATTAATATTACAATGTGATGAACCACAGAAGCGAGACGCTTCGTTAAATTTAAAATAATTTCACACCATGTATATATTGTATATATATATATATATATATATATATATATGATTTTGCACACTGCGTCAAAATTGTTAATAATAAATGTTTGAATTGGAGAAAAGGGATTTTAAAATTAAAGTCAATGCATTATTAAATACATCGTTATTTGCAATTCGAGTATGCAAAAAGCACTTATTTAATTAATATTTTGCTGCAAATAAATGAAGATTCGCGATGAAAATGCGGCTTTAACAACGAAATGAAATTAATAATGATATGTTGAAATGTGTGTTTATGATGTTAACTGTGTTAACAAAGCAATCTTGTAAACGCAATAATGTTTTAACGTTATATAAAAAATTAAAATATATACAAAAATAGTAAAAATTTATAAAAAATCAATGTTATTTAAAAAATATAATTTTTTATACGATCTGTCAATATAGAATTCAAAATTTAAAACGTCACACGCTAATATCTTTGAAATCGTACAAGATAAAAGCTTAGCCATTACATAGCACTTCAGTATGCAATACTGTTTTCCTTTTGTAATATTGCACTATTTACCAAGACTTCTATGACATTATTTGTGTAACATGCATCGCAAATATGTAATATAATACGGTCTTGTGAAACTTGTATTTGTTGAAAAGCAACACATCACTGGCTTCCTTTTCTGAACAATTTAATAGCCTGTGCACGGTCGACGTGACTATTAGGTTGTTTACCTGCATCACAGTAGTTAAGATCCATGTCAAGTCAGTCAGGATATACGACACCATTAGATTCGTGTGTATGTTGTTTCTGAGGCACCGTAGTTCTCTATAAAAGGATAATAACAAATCTAAAAATTAGAAATTTTCCTTTATTAATTACAAATAACAAAATTAACGTACCAAATAAAAAGCAAATATATGTTTTTTCTTTACGCTTTATCGAGTTTTATTAATATTTCAAATTAAATTATAAGTCTAAAACACACCTCGTGAAAAGCGCATTGTAAAAGGTATTGACATACAAAACTATAAAAATCATAACGCGTAAAACGAGTAAAAAATTTAAAACAAGTTTCTTTCATGTGGCACTCAAAGCGCCAAGGGTGCTATTTTAGTAGCTCGATCCTCTTCAAATAAAGTATAATAATAAATCGGGAAAATGTTATATTATGATTATCAGATTTCTACTCACTTGTAATAAATGAATATGCAGACCGCTACTATCAGGGTAAATAAGGAGAGGCTGTAACCGATGAAATATAATGTAGTCGTGATTTCGACCCCGGACTCAATAGCCCCGGGCAATTGCATAGGGTGGCACAGGGAGTAATTGGAATAATTGTCCCATGTCCCATTGGACCAACACCACCGACTTGCGTTTTCTGAAAGCGTAAGCGATCTCAGTTAATATTCTGCGTTCGTCCTCATCTCCCTCGAGCACTTTATTAAAATATTAAAGTCTCGATTGTTGATATTTTTACTTTGAAACTTTTTCAGGGAAAGTTTCATTAGAACGAAATAAAATACAAATGAATAATCAGTACTAATTGTGTAACATTTAAGTTCTTTTAGAAAAGATTTTTACAAAAAGATAAAAATATTTAATCTCTGATGTTCAATGTAATAATTAGAATATCGAATACACATGCTAGATAAAATGGGAAGACACGTGCCAACATTTAAGAGTGAAATCGTGCGATTTCGCAATTGAATATTGGAAACTAGTTTTTTTACTATTTTTTTCTTCGCTGCGAAACGTTTACGTGACTATGTTTTTTTAATGGATGCGACGGTATGCGTCTCGTCGTTATCTAAATGCAAATTTCGGATACGTCATGAATCCGAGGGATGATTCTCGGTATCGCTAGTAATATTTCACAATCTTGCATTGCGACTGTGGATCACGATGTGGATATCGCCTGTGTTGCATTATTCACAACCACAAAGAAAACGGTTGGACTGAATCGATATCGTAAGAGAAAAAGGTCGCCCCCGAAGCGACCAGAGGTAGCAACGGCAGCAGCAGCTATAGCAGCAACAGCAACAGAAGTAACGTTAATGTGTCGCTTATTAATAGCTTTCTTAATCCGTCAACTAACAAACCAACAGAATGATGTTTCTCGGAGGCTTAAGAAGACTATCAACAAGTTGACTGCTAAATAAAATTTATACGATAGCTGGATATCATCTCCACTTTTATCACTTTAGTACGAGATAATCCCAGGGCAAAGGTGTGCATTTAAGGAGGCAGGCCAGCGAGGTCGCAACAGAAATGAGTATTTTTTTAAGAGCAATTATAAGTGATATTAAATTGAAATTATCTTTAGGATTATTCATTAACGTTTTACAAATATATAAGTATATATATAAATTTCTGCATTTCAAAATTATTCTGCTTGTCAATCTATAGCGCCTCTCTTTTTATTTCCAAAATAAAATGTTGTTTATTAGAAAATTCAGATTTGAAAGAGATTAAAGTCATAAAGTTTTGATTTAAAGCGCGAATTTTGAGTAACAATGTTGGTTATAATCCTCTCGCTATTATTAATAGAAGGTCGGCGATGTACAGCTTCTCTCAAAATAATGATCGACTACTCGTAATGATGCTTTGTTGTAGAAAGTTGGCAAAACTCGTTTGCACGCTTCAATTTATTGAGTAAAACTACTTGAACAATAACGGGTGGGTCGAGAGTCATGGAGACCGTCATAAAGTTTCATAATTATTGTTAGATATTAACGATATACACTTCACTGGAAGTTTTCACAATGTGGGTTATTAATTCACAACCAGAGCTGTAATTTTATAAACTGAATAATACTTTCCCTAGAAGTTCCTTTTAACGAACATATCTCAAGAAAGTTTCCAAGTGTAAATATAAAATACACATAAATATTCAAATAATAAATATATATGACACTTTAATAAAATACAAAAGTTATAATTTAAATACGGGCTCTGCTGCTAATCAAATAGTTTAAAATAATAAGAAGCTTGAATTGGGTTACAATGTTCAATCTTTATTAATTGCTAATTATGTAAATACAGTTTCGGCAATGCGAAATTATTCTCATTATCCTTATTATCTGCCATAAATTGCAGTGCAATTACGATTTTGATTGGGATAATGTAGCGGATATCAAATAGAGAGCCCTCCAACAATAAGAAGTTGATTTCGGAAATGACGCACTTAACTCAATTATGTAATTTTTGTGAATTGTACACTGATGATGACCGAAACCAATATGCGTACACGGAGAAAATTTTATATCAAAAATTATTATGTAGGCAGTAGCCGCGGATCGAAAACTTTCACTATGTTTCACATGCGAAAAATATAGTAAAATTTTTATAATTTCTTCACGGTTCGTGGCCGCACATAATAATTTTTGATATAAAATTTTCTTCGTGTATGTACATTAATTAGTAATTAATAAAATTGAGCATAAACCCAGCTCTGATAGCTTCTTATTATTTATAATTGTTACATTAATAAAATATGTACAGTTAAAATTATATAATTTATTTACACAATTATTTTTATATAACTATAATACAAAATATACAGAATGTCTTGAATGAAATTGCCAATTTCGAGCCCTGTCGCAAAATTGCAAGCGAATTGCACACTTTAAAGTTAACAAAAAAAGTTCTAATAAACATGAATCTTGTAACTATCACTTTTGGAGATATTGCAACTCATATTTGAAGTTTCACTTCACGGCAAATGCTCGAAGTGGTCTCTATTGGCAGTCACACACGCGCTACGCCGCATCAGTGTGACTATCTCACACACATTTAAATGCTCCCAGCGGACTTCTTGTGACATCGCACGAGTTTTATATATACGTTGCTATGTTTCTTGAACATTTGCGTTGGTATGTGCAAGTCTGTGTGCAAGAGAGAAAAAAACGGACAGAACTGTTGATAAGTTCCTTCATATTCATTTTATTTCTCATGTCAATTTCGAAGTTATAATTTATGCCATAATTAAAACTGATTGTATTTCAAAAAGATAATTTTCGAATCTATACTTAATAAATTCTTTTGTGTTAATTTTGAAACGTAGAATACGTTCGCAAATTTGGTAAGAAGACTTTAAACTCACCGTACATATTTGAAGTTGTAAATTGCGAGGATTATTTGAAAACAATCGCCGAAAGTTTTTAATGAGTTTTTGAACCGTATTCTAACAAAACCTTTATTTAAAGTTTAGTTATTAAGTATAAAATGGATTTACTGATATTTTATGTATTCGTGGCTCATTTAGCACTTAAAAACTGTACTCATTGATTAATGTAAACAATAATAATATTAATTAAACAATTATTTTGCGTCTATAACTAAAGCTGGCCTCTTTTTCTCCATTTGAAGAAAATATTGATTTGATTCGAACTGCGAAAGCCATTTAAATATAATTGATTCGTGCTTTGTGTTATGTGCTGCATTCAAGCCGCTAGTGCCTTGAAAGCTTCGAGCTTTTCTAAAAGAAAGAAACCTCTGAATCGAATTTGTCGGTGTTCTTTATTTGCTAAAATATGTATTGTAACTAGAATAACCGCCAGAGAAGTTTGTTTCAATTTCGGCACTTGCCCTAAATTTCGCGATTCGTTCATTCGTTCGGGACTCGATCCTATCGAGTTTCCTCCCCATAAAAACAGGAGGTAAAAATAATAACTTATTTTAAAGATAAATTGCATTCGTGGTTATATACACAAACGGTATAATTATAAATCTTCCCCTAAATAAATTAATAAATACAATAGCAATATAATTACTGTAATTATATTTTAATTATTTTCTAATTAAATCCGTATTGATTAGAGATAAGAGAACAAAATTGCTAGTTCAATTAATAGCTTAATTAATACATACCAAGAAATAGATATGCGATAGCGAGAATAAACTTAATGTAATAATTAGATATTATACCGGTAATGCAATCTCATGCGCACGGTTAGTTTCCTAAGGGCAACCGAGAAATTCTCTGTTGTGAGTAATAACTGTAGTTGTTTCGCAGTAATTGAATACATGTTTGCAAATTGAGCGAAATACAGTAATTTCCTTACATAATTAAATACGATAAAATCAATATGTTCATATTCGAAATAAGAAAAAAGCAAGGTAACAAAAATATTCTTAGTATCCAGCAAAAAAGCTATTAACTTTTTGTCTGGAAAAAAAGCGATTTTTCAGCGATTTATTTAATAATAATTTTCTGTGTTATATATTGTATATATAAATGTATTTCTATATATATTCTGCATACGTAAGAGTACGCGAATTATATATGTAAGCATCATTATATACGTAAAAAGTGATAGTCGAAGATAATGCTGTAAAACGATAATAAACCAGGGAGAGCAACAGATTTTTCTCGTCAAACTCGTATTTCGAGTGAGAAACAGGTATGTTAAATGAATATAAGTCTTCTAAAAATACGACCAACTTGAAATTTATCGCTCCACGGCAATCATGAATTTAAGACGAAAAGCGAATCGAAGAGCGTATCACAAATAAGCATAATCTCTGGCACTGGTCTTATATGTTTCCATACGCACCGTAGCCGGGATACACCTGTGGTAGACGCTTACCAGGTGTCGACACAACTCAGTAATCAATAACGGGGCGTACGAATAAATCGGAGCAGATGCTATTTCACAAATTTACTGGAGCAAACACTTTGGAAAATACGGTATGTCCGATAAAATGAGATATATTAAACAAAAATATTATTTTATGAAAAAATATATAAAGAACGCAAGGTAAATTTTTCTCACTGATCGCGTAATTAAAGAGAAATAATTGAAGAGAAATAATTTTAAATATAAAAATATTGCATGACATGAGTATTTATTTAATTATATTTTTCAACTTAATAATTTTATCACGCATGTTAATAATTATAAATTAAAAAGTATCTCAATATATCTTTTTGTGGTTAAAATTCGCTGCTATGATTTGTAGCAAAAGATTATTCAAGTTTTTTAGCTTGTGAGCAAAAAAAAAAAGAAACCAGGGAAAAGGAATAATTTTCTAATTTTTAAAAACATTCTCTTCTGTTGCAAGAAGCTTTTTATGAAAAAATTTTATTTTATATTTTTCATTAACTTTTGCATGTAGAATCCAGTTACAGCATTCTGCATTATTTAAAACTTCTTCAAACTTGACACTGTCATAAATACATTATAGTTTTACGAGATTATATAATACAATATATAGTTTTATATACATGTCACATAAAATATTCCCATCTTTCTAGATCGAAAAAGTTTAATAGGTAGAATAATAATCAAACTTGTTAATGAAACATAATATAAATGAGATTCTTGCATGATTTACTCTGTCATGTGGCCCGATATATCATTAGACAAGTCTGCAACT